TGCATGATGTCGGTTCCAGCTTAAACACTTCAAATTATGATAAATAGCTAATATGGATATAAATTAGTTCATAACTATTATTATTGTTTAAGTTATTAAATCACCCAATTTAATAATAATTATATCGTCAATATTCGTATTATTATACGAATCGGCTAATAAAGATTGAGTTTTCCTGTTGGATATCAATAGGTCGTAAATGGTAACCATAGCCTATTAAATTGTATCCTAAAATGTATCCTTAGCGTAGGTATAAGTTGATTTTCATGTTCCTGTAATTTGCGATAATTAGTTCGTATAGTCAATAATAATATGCTTGAAATGCGGTTATTTACTTAAGAACATTAATTAATATGAAACAAAACAGTCGTGCCTAAACAAAGAAAAATAATTTGCCCATTAGTCCATGCACCACATGTGTATGTGTTTACAGTTCTAATTATTTTTAAATAAACTTATGTTTGAATTGTGTATTATTCAATTTGAATACCAAGTCTGACTATTATATTTTTATAATTGATAGGTAACGTTCAAAATGTTGATTATTATTCTAAGCATTTACAGTTAGATCATCGACGTAATCATACATATATTTATAAGTATTAAGTATAAACCTCCGTTACAAATAACGGAATTAAAGTATTTTAATTATTTCTATTTCGTTCATTAAAATAATAAAATTATAATCAACGCTACACAATATTAATGATTTTATTAAACAATTTGTATGTATACTTAGGCCTTAGCATTTACAAGCAATACTTAAATTAAACGAGTTTTTTTCTAATAGTTAATTAGGTAACCATACATTCTTAGCGCATTAGCGCAAAAAAAATTACTGGTGGTCGAGAAATGGTTTATTGTGCTGTTTCATTTACAAACAACTACTGTTTAAAGTGTTTTTTCTACTAAATTGTGGTAGATAAGTTACAATAATCTATAAAGAAATGCAATAGTTCTCTTCAAGTTTTAACAGAAAAATGGGGTGGATTATTATCCAAATAATACAACGGATGAATGTAACATTAACTAAGAGAACATGATCAATGGCCTCATAATTCATTATTTAATAATAACAAAAAAAAAAAATTCAAAATCAGTTACTCATCAAATTTCCTACACGTGTCTCGAAGTTTTTACGATGCAAATATTTTTGAAGTTTAGTTTTTGATGAGCCCAATATTTTTACTAAATCCCTTGATGTTGTAATTCGAAGAAACATTTTTTTCTTGTAGTTAAGTTCCTCGTGCCCAATAGTGCATTTTCAACAGATTGCGATGTGTATAATATTCATTATTACATAATGAACCTTTGTTCATTGTGTTCATTGTATATCAGACAACAGTGGCAAATATGTTTCAGTCATATTTTAAAAATATATATTTTTAGACTTGAAATACAATAACTATTACAATATATTTTTTATACTAGCATCAAAATCGTAAATAAATCTATTTATCGTAGACGGATTGGCATTGCGTTATTAAGTTATACATTTCTATAAAAAAACATTTTACAAACGTAAATGGTGGAATAAATTTAACTGAGTGCAAAAAAACAACTAGTTGTTTAATATACCCAAATAATTTTTAAATGTACTTAAATAAAACAAAAATTGTCCATTTGTGTTTTAGACTTTAGTACAAGTAATACATTGTAAAGTTGGAAACGTGTATTTTAAATTAAAAATAGTATTTATTGCATTATACAATTCACCAGCATAAACATTTAAATAATTTATTTCCATCAATGATGACGTTTAATGATGTTTAGTGAGAGAATCGACATAAAACTACAGTTTGCAAGTATATATTGTCAATGAGAGACTGGAGACATCATTAACACATCATATTATCCACAAAAAATAGCGTCCAGCGTTTTGTCTACCTAAATTTATTAATAAAACCAATGCGAAACATTAAGTAATTCAAATAAATAGTATATTAAAGTTAAAATTTTAAAATTATAATAGTATAAAAAATAAATATTAATAATACTTTTATTTTTTTCTATAAAAACAAATTTAAATTGTGGACAACGCATAATTATAAGTTAAATCTAGATAACTTTGTACACAAGTCTGTGCAAAATTATAATATTTATTTTGTATTAATTAGAAATTGGTAAGTAAAAAACATCTACACGCAGTGGCCAATACTTATAAAAATAAAAACTAAACACTAACTTACTAATTATTCAAATCTAGCATATTAAAAATAACTTGATTGATATTTTTTAATTGTTTAAAAATTAAGCTAATTGCCAAACCATTTAATATGACATAGTATATAAATTTAGAAGACCTAGAACTCAAATGGTATATTTTATAATTTGTATTTGGTCATTTATAGAACATATCTATGAATTCTGAATAAAAAATGTGTGATAAATATCTCAATTAGCCTTTTCTTTTCGCAACTATTATAATTATTTATTGCTGACACTGTCTTCGAAAAGTTCAAACAGATACCCAATAAATAACATCCTGTACAGTATATTATATTAGCAATCATAATTCTTTAAGTTTCGTTGAGGCACACTCACTTGGGCATTCTTCTGAATTAGTATTAACTGTTTACTGATGGGTTTCTTCAATATTAATCAAAATATAATCTATTGTACCATCTACACAATAAATACGTTAACCACGGCCGAGAAGTTTCCCCGCAAGTACCTACCTATATAGCCTATAGTATCTACTACGCAGTTATCTGACCAAAATAACCCACTGGCAACTAATTCTTTTGCTTTCCAAGTGTCCGTTATGTTGTCCTATATGACTGTACTCTATAGAGTAGATAAACAGTAACGGTTGCATAATAAATAGTAATATGTGCGCTTGAGAGTTGAGTATATAATATTTTCAAATAGCAACGGAAACCCGAGTTTCGTGAGCGGTTAGGTTAGGTTAGGTATTTCGGTATTGGCCTATTGCCCAGTTATTATTAAATTAAAACAATATCAACATTGATTTAGTCGACTTTCATGTCATAATAAACAGTGTAGGAGTATTTACTGATGTTTTGTCAAAATTATCATACAACATAAATCTTGATTTATCCTGTTAAATAAATACCTACTTATTTATAGTAAAGACTCGCTGTGTTAAATTATGAATTACTAATGCCGGGTTAAATGAGTGTTCATTAGAATTTGAATCAATCATTAGCAATTTAGTAGTTCTTTATAAATAAAACAGTGAACCTATCACTGGTCTATTAATACATTTTTTTTTTGTTTACTGAATCTACAAGTCTAAGCTTTACGACAACATATTTGATATTTATGGAGGTATTCATAATAACTACACTATATAGGTACACCATGTAAAATGAACCTATAAAATAACATTTCACGGTAACAACTTTAAGAAAAACGTGGTAGTTGATGAATTTATTTATTTATTATTATAATTTGCAATTTTTGTGTTAAGTTCACGCTTGCGTACTTACTACATTAATCAATAGATTACCATATAGTAGTTAAACTATTCTTATAAAAGCTTTGAATTAGGGTCATTTGTTTTAATTTGTATTTTTGTTCGATTGCAAAATTATATTATAACGAGATCAACTAGGCTAGTGCTTAAAGATGGAGAAAAAAGGTTGTTCAAAAGTAGCGGCAAAATTATTTTATGCTTACAGAGTAAAGTTGTAAAAAAATAGCTACGCTCGATCGACTTAAAAATATTATGATACAGAAAATTCAATAGATCACATTCATAACAAATGTATACTAATATACTGTATATGTAAAATGTATATTATATACATTTTACACGTAGGTACACTTTAAATGTAATTTTGACAAATATTGATCTGTTCACCATTGTGCTTGCTTTTCAATCAAATCTGGACAATCCGGTAACCAGTGAAAACAGAACAATGGATGTTGAACGGCAATTATCACCAGAGGACATTGTTAATATTATAGTTTCAATAGACTATAGCAATTGCTTCAAATTTCAAAATTTCTTTTATTTATTTTTTGGTATATTGTTGTTACTTAAATATCATAATAAATATTTTTCTTTCTAAATATCCTGTTTACCGCCGACTTGCCTTCAACTGAAGGCACATTTATCGATACCTATGCTGATGACATGTCATAGCGACATCCTTAGATCCCGATACAGCAATTCACCACTTAAAAAGAGAGCTAACCCGCGAGGATATCCTCTCACAATGTTCCATAACTAGAAAATCAGAATAAATGAAGCAAAGTCTACACATATTACATTTTAAAAATTTGTAATGTGGGAAATGGTAATGAGCCGATAATAAAAGTACTCGGGGTACCCTTGACCTGGGTTTTTTTTTTATTACATGGGTCAAACCCTAAATTTTATTTACAGTGGTAGGTATTCTTGTAATTGACAATTAATAACCGTTAACTCTACGTATAGTATTAATTTTTCAATTGCAGTATAATTTCACACAGTGAAATCCAGAAATGCAAGTAAAATTGTGTTGACGATTACACTAGTGTTGCTCATCGATAGTATAATATATATTATTAAATTTAAACAACTAAATATTATTAACGTATTGCTCAAATAACAAGAGATTTTAGTTTATTTATTCGATTACTTCAGTTTCTTTGAAGAAAAGAGGGCAGGATGGATTTCAGTAATTTTTTCGGTTTTCTTTCTTACCATTGAAATGAAAGAACTTTTATGGCTTAATTATTTTTTTTCTTTACCTATCATACCACGCATTATTTTATGAAACTAAATATGTATTAAAGCCAAGTTGTATAAACAATTTCATAAAATCACTTAAATTTATATTATATACTATCCTCCAGAACAGAGAATCTGATTAGTTGACTATACACTTTGAATTATGCTGATAATAACAAACAAGTAGTTACTGCTGAGGACATGAAAATGTATAGGTGAAAAAAAGGTGCTGCTATAAACAAGCATTACAATTATTGGCATATTCTGTCAAGTTTCACAAAATATAGGAAAAGTTGGTTGAAAAAAAAAAACAAAAATATAATTATTTTGTAATTTTATTGAACCGTCAAATGTCGAAATACAAAATGGTCAGGAGCAGCAAGCAAGAAAACCTGAAAATAAACAAACATTTTTTTTTATTAATAATTGTTTAACATAGTTAATGTATAATAATTTTTTTTTAAACAAATCTTATAAGATTTTAGTATATGTACTTCCGAAGCAAGTACTAAGATCACTTTACTACAATACTATCCATACTTTGAAATTACAATTATTTCTATTAACGTCTCAAGTCATTTATAAAATAAAATAACTGTATTAAACGAGATAGAATTTTTTTTCGCAAACCCTTAGGAAGGTTTATGTTATAGAAAACTGTAACCCGCTGGAGCATGCATACAATTTTATTCAATATATAAATCTTAAATTAGGCTTACCTAAAACATATATTTTTCCTATATCATATCAAATCATGTCAAGTTTATTTATCTCAAAAACTGTCAATGAATATGTTTGTAGTCATTACAAAATAAAATAAGACTGTCTCAAATAAAATGGAATTTATTTTTAGGCAAACCCTTAGGAAGGTCAATTTTATAGAAATTAGTAACCCGCTGGAGTATGCAATCATTTTTGTGATATCATTAATGCTTAATCAAAAGTAATATTTCCTCTATATTTTTACAAATTGAGTCATTTATTTACCGTAAAAACTGTTAACATATGTCTGTAGTCATTATAAATAATAGACTGTATCAAACAAAATGGAATTTTTCTTTTGCAAACCCTTAGGAAGATTAATGTTATAAAAAACAGTAATCCGCTGGAGCATGCATACAACTTTTGGAGACTTCATTAATTTAAACTAATGTTCCTTAAAACATATATTTTTGTCATAACATATTAATCTTATGTGAAGTTTATATCTACAATACCTTTATTAGTTTAACATTATTTTGCAAAAACAGTTTCTTTTGAAACAAATATACTTAATTGGACACCCTTTTTTTTTAATCAATAGTACTTTTTATGCCGATTACAAGTCTGCAAAAATGTTGTGCCTCTCGCACATAACAGGGTACAACCATTATATCAAATTGTTGAAAGGCATTTAATTTTATATAGTAACAAATGATAGAACACACTATTACATAGAGTTTTATTACAATAGACTTGACAAGGGTCATACACACTTCACAGTGAATCACAGCTTCAATTTTAAGGATCCGGAGACTGGTGCTCAGACCAACACCATAGAGAGTACCTAACGTCATGCCAAAACATCTTTACAATCATAAAAAAGAAAAAAAGAATGGCAGGTATTTGGCCAAGTATGTTTACAAAAAGGTGTAAAAACCTAAATCTCAACCCAACCATAATGTATATGTGCTGGCACATTATACTAACCAGACAGACAAGATCAAGATCAAACGAGGTAGAAGAAGATGAACCAAATAACGCAAGAAATAACTAAATAATGCTAATGAACAGAATGTTATTATAATAAAGAAAAATATTAATTAACCAACTTGGTATATTTTAAAATAACTACAATGATTCAGGTCTGTACAAGGTTTTGAACAATAATTTATATGATCTACCTTCATAATATTCACCAGTACCTGCCACTCTTAACGATACTTCGTCAAAAAAATAGTAGTGATAATGTTGCGCCATGTACTTTACGACATACAATAAATTGAGTAGTACTATAAGAAAAATAAGGGATGAGGTTTATTACAAAAATTAACTCTTAAACGGCATTCACATATAAACAACTATATTCGCACATCCTTCTATTCATTTAAAAAAAATAAAATACATTATTACGATTAGGTTTGGAAAAAAAAAACACAAACGTCAGCAGTAACCGTTACAATTTAACTGCCCACACACGCATAATCAGTATCACGTGAGATATAAAAAGTAAAGATGCTTATTAGTTATTACTTATACTAAGTGAAGTTGTCGCATTTGCAGTAACCGTAATGACAATGTATACAATGATCATGAGTATCCTTTTTCTGATATACCTAACATTTAAGATCACAATTTTTTTACTTTTTTCATTTCAAATAACTATAACTATTTTCCACATTATTTTTATAGTCAGATATCATATTGTCTCCGAAATCTTGTTATTTTTCAATTATAAATAGTGTTTATGTTCTAAAACCACTATAGACAGAGTAAAATACACTTTGCGGAGCTATGTATGGATGAATTTTTTTTTAAATCACTGTTTAAGATGCTGTGATAGTCCGAAAAATAAATTAACTACCGAAAATGAGTCCTAATTACTGAACTAACACACTACAGATTAACCTTTAAGCCGAGTACGGCCCTGGTTGATAGGTTATGACACATTTTTATGCTTGAATCCATAATGTCAAACGTTTATGTATACTTTTATTAGTTAGGTATAAATACGATTATTATTAAATTAATAATATATTAGAATACCCTTTTTAATCTTTATTTTTTAAATCTTAAATAACGCTACCTTAAAAATTATATTTTCCTCATGACATATCAGTTTACAAAAAAAAAAAAATAATAACTACACTTACGTAACAGTCTTAGTTGAATAAGCCAAAGCCCATATCATCATCTGATCCTTCATCAGATTCTTCAGCCTTCTCTTCCTTCTTGTTAGCTAAAGGTAAATTATACAAATAAATAAAATACAATTAAAACACACAACAAAATTAATTTACCTTTCTTTTCCTCAGCTTCAGCAGGCGCAGCGCCACCTGCACCACCTGCAGGTGCAGCTGCTGCAGCTCCCGTTGGTACACTGGCTAACTTAGCTTTACCTGTAGAAAAATTGCTTGAGTAAATATGTTTAAGTGAATACTATAATTTAAAGAAGAGCAAACCAAGCTCAAACCTTTGATTATTTATGGTAAATCTATAAATAATAATGTTTCCAAGACCAAATGAGTAACAAACAAGAATTTTTATTAATCAAATATGGAAAGATTAAATGTGTTATTAGAATGATTAAAATGTATTTCAGGCTATTTAATTCAAATTCATTTATTTTGAAAATAGATCTTTATTGTGTCAACCTTATTATTTACCCATTTAGATGATATTAGTACAGACAAAATATTATTAGTTACCGCTTTCAATGAGTTCATCAACATTCTTGCCCTTCAGTTGCTTTATAACAATACCAAGCTTTTCAGAATCAACTTCAATACCAACAGAGCTTAGAATTTTTTCAATATCATCAGTAGCTGGCTCCTTTCCACTAAGGGCACTCAACAAGTATGCAGCCACGTAACGCATTCTAAAAAAAAAAAAGCATTACTTCATTAAATAGTACGGTAGGTAGCAGATAGTCTACTATTAGAAAAAGTTAAAATATAAAAATGTCTAAATCATATGCTGCAATCAGTTTAAAAGAATACATCACTAATTATCAGACGAAAGATGATGATAAAATTTAATCATCATTAGCAACACATAAATAAATATGAAATGTAAAGAAATTTGCTATATTTGTATACCTTAAATTAGCTTTTTATCCAAAACTAAGATATCAGATTAAAAAAATACATCACAGACTGTCAGACGAAAGATGGTGATAACAATTGATCATCATTAAAAACTTAAATGTTTTAAACAATAACTTTCTTATTTAATTATAAGTTATGTAAAAAAATTTAATATTTTATTTGACATACAAAATAGAGGATTATGCTTTTTTGTAACAACATGTAATAATTTTCTTGAATTAACTTAGTAACCTTATTTATAAATATAAATAATTAATAAATTAAATAACACTAATATCAGTAGCACATTAGCATCAGGTATCAGACCCGAAAGATGGTTAGTAGAATTGTTGTGTATCATCATATAATATAAGTATGTTAAAAATTTGTCATTTTATGAAATATTAAATTTAAAAATACTATAAGTATACTTAAGTAAAAATACCATACTTCAGATTTGTAAATAGCATCAGGTTTCAGACCCGAAAGATGGTTTAGTATAAAAAGTATCATCATATTATTTGTTCATGTTATACAATACAGTTAAATATACACAAGGGATTTATTTTAAAATTTGAAATAAATTCTGTTTTCAGATTTGTTAATAACATCAGGTTTCAGACCCGAAAGATGGTTTAATAAAAAAAATATCATCATATAATTAACAGCATTCACTCAAAATAAAATAAATCATAAATAATATATGATAAAGTAATTATTTTACAAAGAAGTATTATCAGTAAACTAACATATCATCAAAACTTTCAGCCGAAAGATGGTGAATAAATACAATCATCATATAAATACTTTGTTTACTCTTTAATGCATGCTACTATTATAATATGTATAAAATATTACTATACTGTATATTAATTACGTTTTGTTTTGAGTTTCGAAACGAGTACTTTTTAAATGTACACTAAAAATATCATTGATACCTATTCGATTTAAGTGACATAAGGTTGTAAAATATATAGTAGAATTTCCACCTACAATTTATTTAAAAAATGAATCCAGTAAAATGTATTCCAATCCAGAAAACTTGTTGAACAGTTAAACATTACTATTTTATAATTGTTTAATAAAAAATACTTTTATCGGTTAAATTTAATCTTTATCTGTAACAGAACATATAGCAGCTTGACTCTTAGCATATTCAACTTGATTATAAAACATCAATTAAATTTCCAGTAGGAATTACCATTTAGTGAGACAATAAAGAAATAAACGTGAAAAAAAAATAAAGTTTGCTTTCTTAACTGATATTTATATATTTTAATAAACCTTTTTTACGAAATCTTTAATACATACACGTGGTATGCGTGATGGGTACATTTCGTTCAGAAAAATTGTATAAGTGTTACATACATTACTATATGTATCACTTGTTCAACCAAATCACATACGATACCAAAACGAAATAAAATATATATTATACTTACTTTAAGCCTTTATTGACACGAAACGTGAGCTCGCAAAATCTTACTATAAAAGAGAAAAGTGTATAATCGTGCTGTTGCCTGTTCGACGACAAACGAGTAGTTGTAAGCGAAAAGCCGTGCACGTTACGCGTATACACTATTCAATTTCTATCATAATAGAGGTTAGGTTATAAGAATAATAATTTGGAGGGGGCATGTTCATGGAAGAATAAATATGAAAGAAGCGTCACGTTAAATTATTTCTTCCAGGAACTTTGAGGTTATCAATACTTCGTCTTTCATACGACAATCGAGTTCGAGAAAACTCGCTTCTCCTTTACCAATTCCCCGTTGTTTTTCTACTCTTCAACGTTGCATTAGGGTACTCTACAAAAATGAGGTAAGTCATACAAATTAATCAACTTAATAAATAATATTTATTTACCGAAGAACGATTGTCCTAAACGATTATTGTGGGTTCACTAGACATATTTGCGATTTTCCATAATTCAGAAAATGCCACATGTGGACCCACAGAAAAGACTTAAACTTACGCTTAAAACGCATATTTTGATACATATCATTTCAATGAGTATATATTATCGTTTATATTTGCTCCTATAGATCTTTAATGATGTGTATAATATCAGTTTGGTGTAATTATGATATAGTTTTTATTGTTCTATATGATTTACAAACTTGAACTAATGGCCTCTGGAACCGAATATGTAAATTTAAGACCAATGTAGTAAAATATAAATCTACAAATTAATATAGTACTATATTTTCCAAAATAGAACATTTTACAATAAACTATTCTTTAATTTTAATAATGATATTCCCCATTTATTAAAATGTAATAGCATCAAATGCTTGTCTCTAGAAAAAATAAATTATTAATGGTTTGGTTTACTTTATGTAATTATTGTGTACCATTAATTTTTAAAGTATGTGTTAGTCATAAAATTTAGCTATAAATGATTGAATCTTAGTAGTAGAGCCCTAAGTATATTGAATTTATTGTTTTATTTTACTACATTGCTATAACAGCATAAGTTTTTGATGATGGGCATATTATTTTATTTCAGTTCGTTAAAGCTTCAAAAACGCCTTGCCGCTTCGGTTATGCGATGTGGTAAGAAGAAGGTATGGTTGGACCCAAATGAAATTAATGAAATCGCTAACACTAACTCCAGTAAGAACCAATCTTTAAAATATAAATTAACTATGGGTTTTAAAAGTCTATTTTAACCATTAAGGACAAAATATACGAAAGCTGATTAAAGATGGTTTGATCATCAAAAAACCCGTAGCTGTACACTCCAGAGCTCGAGCACGTAAAAATGCTGAAGCCAGAAGAAAAGGTCGTCATTGTGGCTTTGGTAAAAGAAAGGGTACAGCTAATGCTCGAACGCCTCAAAAAGTAATTTATAATTTATTTACTTTTACAAAATTTTAGTTAAACTATAAATTGTCTGCATACTGCTCTACCCCAATCACCTCCACTTTTATATTTTTAGTATGATAATCATTTTACTTGTTAAATACATTCGTCATGCATTTTTTTATTTAAATCTGTAGCAACTTATACAGTTTTCTTAAACAAGTTTTTGTTCATTCATTGTATACTAATGAAACCGATTCTCAATAAATATTTTTTTTTTTACTATCTTTGAAAGAGATCAAGAAAAAACTTTAGCAACTTATGGTTATATATAATAAAGAAATTAATATTTTAGACTGCCATTAGCGTTGATGATGGCAACATTGTTGTTGAAATACGTATATGCCAAGAGTGTATTATTTTATGGTTAAGGGTTTTTAGTTATCAATTTTTTTTATTTGAAAGAGATTGAAAATATGTTGATGTATTAAGCCGAGTCCACGCTAGGAAACGTGCGTGCACTGTTTCAATGAAACACCGGTATTGGCGATTTTGTGCGTCAGCATGTATGCAAACAAAGTTCGTTGTGCGTCGTGATTTATCTGTTTTTGTTCAAATTAATTTTTACTTACCTGTTCACACTAAAAAAATATTGTCCGACATTCCCTTTAATGGTTCGCTCAAATACCGCCCTCTAGAGCGAACATCTAAACAGTGTGTGCGTACAACAAGCAAACATGTCCGAACGGAACAAACCTTGTTTCCCAACACAGTTTCCTAGCATGGAACCGGCTTAAGCTTTATTGATTTACTAGATGTACAGGGCTATCAGAATTTCATGTTGCACCTGATTTTTTTAATCATATACTAAATGTATCTCATCTAAATATTACTTATAAGAACCTATTCAATTTTTAAATTTTATTTTGCTTCTTGATATAAACATTTTATTTAGTGACTTATACTCTTTTGATTTTCATCTATTAGTATTCAGTATGTTTGAGAAAAATATAAAATTTTTGATTCCTAAAAAAATCTAGAAAACTAGCATGTGCACCAAATATTTTTACAAAATTGAAATTGCCTAATTTTAAGTATTTTTAATATTCTCTGAGTGAAAAATAACTATTAAAATTAAAATTGTCTGTATTTGTATAGGATCTTTGGGTTAAAAGAATGCGCGTGTTAAGAAGATTGTTAAAGAAATACCGCGAAGCAAAAAAGATTGATAATCATCTCTACCATCAGTTGTACATGAAGGCAAAGGGTAATGTTTTCAAGAACAAGCGTGTGTTGATGGAATTCATTCACAAAAAGAAAGCCGAAAAAGCCCGTGCTAAGATGTTAAGGTAAAAATGAATATGATTTTAGTAAATTATTATCTTTTAAGAGATGGTTAATAGTTTTTTTTCTCTCTTAGTGACCAAGCCGAAGCTAGACGTCAAAAGGTTAAGGAGGCAAGAAAGCGGAAGGAATTGCGATTCTTACAAAATAGGCAAGAATTATTAGCAGCGTACGCTCGTGAAGATGAGAAAGCTGCTGCAGCAAAAAAATAAATTGTATAAAATTGTTTTATTTTTTAATATAATTCTGACCTATTGGACACTTTTTTTTTTTCATGGATCAAGGCAATATGTTCAAATTCAGGTTCATTAATTAACATGGGTCTTGTGTAGTACTATAAAACTTCAAATTGATAAAATTAGGTTGACTCTCTTGGAATTGATACAGATGTCAGTCCCCACCTAATACAAGCCCTACTTTCTTGGGAAAAGTTAGTATAAATTATAATACATGGAAAAACTTAAAATACACTTAATTAGATAATAATATGTATAGTTTTCTTTAAAAAAAAAAAATTCATTAGACCCTAACATAAGACGAATTAAACAGTTATGGAAAAAAACTTAAGGTATAATTCTTTCTATAGTAGTATAATATGAAATGTTCTTTGACGTTCAAATAAGGGCACTTGTCCAAATGTTAAAACATTTCAGTTGAGAAAAAAATTGAATTGCTGCAAATCGTATGTCAAATAATTTAGTATAAGACAAGGTAAGATGGTTCTACAACCACTTACAGAAATATTATAAAAATAGGTACTCAAAGACATGTGCCGTTTATGCTTCATAAAATTAAACTTATAACATTTTCTTATAAATAAGTAGCTCTTTTATTACCAAAAATTGATATGATATACATTCGTTTCTTTGATGATAATGAGTTACAAATATTTTATTTTATTGAAATTTAGGAAGAAATATAGAATATGTGTCCCATTTGCACAAAACCACGTATTTATTGATATTAAATTTAATAATGTAAAGTAATGGACATGTGCCCATTCTGTGTTAAGCAATTCATATGATAACAAATTAGATTCATCTTGTTAAACTAGTGTGAAACTACTTTATTTTTATACATTTAATAGGTAAGTGTTATCGAGTTTTATTATTATATGGGACAGGAGCATAGGTCATAAAAAATTATTTTACTGTAAGTAAGTTAAACTTGCAAATAAAGAGAAATTACAAAAATTGAATTGTTTAAATCATCTAAAGAGGAAATTAAAAAAGTCTAAACCGAAAATCGGTTACAATTCCTTAAACTATTGGATTAAGACTACAGTTTTGGCAGTGCATGAGTACATAAATCTACTATTGAAATTAGCTAGATGAACTTCCAACAGTTCTTTTTAATAAAATCCCAATAGGGAATTAAATTTTTATCCCAGACAAAAAAAATGCATAAATATTGAAACCAGAATTTGGCATCAGTAAGACATGAGTCGCCTAGTTTCAAAACCAGCTGTACAATTTTTGAAAATGTTTACAAAACAACAAATAATTTCTTTAGATAGAACCAACCAAGATTTTCAAACAAACACAGTTTGGATTAGTTATATTCTTTATTTGAAATTCAATAACAGTTATACATAATATGTAATACATTGTGGTCACTTGTCAAAATGTCTTAGGGCTGGTTTGAAATTAGATGCCTCACATAGAAACTGAAATTCTAAGACAAAAATTATTTACTATTTTCATACTAGTTTACTTCTTTTTAACAAATTTATTTTTGTAAACAATGTCCGATCCTATAAAGAGGGACCTGTCTATAAAATTTTAAAAATGCTACTTATCCAGACGGACCGACCCATAAAATATTATTTAATAACTCAAACCAACCACCAAGCCCGGCCCATAATTAGATTATTAAAACCGAGACTCAACAGGAACAGTCAAAAATTGTAGCTAGTGACCAGACTGGACCAAACCCAGATTATAGTTCAGTTTAAGAATGCACGGAACTTAAGAAGGGATAAATGTCCTCTTTGAGGTAACTCGGATGAGACAAAAATATGTTTATACAATTAACAATTAATATTGATTTATTGGGAAGGAAATTTTAAGTAGAAAGAGGACTATTTACATAAAGAAACCGTAACAACAGTTGTGACATTTTAGTAATTCCTGAACAAAAATGTTTTATTAGAAGAAAACCTATAAAATAATTGTACGTTGCCACTGGCACCGATCTCCAACAGAACACGACAGAAGTGTGGTCAGGCCGACAACATTTTTAGAATTATCAAAATTATAAGTTTCCGTTATACTTGCTATTTGGCCTGAATAATAACTTTGACATCACAGCACTGCTGTATAAAACAATAATTAAATAAAACCATTTCCTTAATGTAATTCTACTATTAGACAACAGATCTTTATAGAATGCGTTGAACAGTACAATAACTACTTTACAATTAAAAGAAAAATAATCATTCTACTACTTCCACAACCTTATAAAAAGCTTAGGAAAACACATTGAATAATTCACATAATTTCTCTTAGCAGTATCCAGTCTATTTTTCTTTCGTAATACGAGTCGCCCCATGGCCAAGGGCCTAAACCGAAGACTAATATAAAATAATAATATTGATTTTGAGAAGTGGATGTATAGAATTTTACAACTAGCAACTCATTTATTCACGACCATAAAGGACAATTCAGCTGTTAGTAAAAGGAACTTGATCATTGCCAGTAAGGTCTTAAAAGAACTTCTCCAAGCTCGTACCACAAAAATTAACATTGCTACTAATAACGATAAAACAACAAAAATAACCCAAGGTCAATTATTTACAGTTAATCACAATTATTCTTGGGTTATAATTAGGTTCGGCACATCTTGGGTGTTAACACAAAGATTAAGCACTTTTTTTATATATCTCAATGTGAAAACTAATAAACAATTTAGGGAACTCTATACAACATTTGATTTGTTTATTTATAACAACAAATAATAAAACATTATTTTTTACAACATCTATTTTACAGAGTACAAAATGCCTATATAATTTTTAATTGTCTATACATTATTTTCCTTTTTTATTGATACCTCCTTGTCTAATCGCTCTTTGGCTCTATATATTTTTGACTGCAAATAAAATGAACCTCCTTTTGCTTTATCATTGATTTTGAATAAATATTCATACCGCTCTTGAACTTCGTCTTTGGTCATTCCTGAAAATAGTCATTAAATATTAAAATATTTTATAGTAAAAATATTAAAATAAAAAAAAGAGATATTTATTTTCCATAAAAAAATTTAAAACAATATTATATAGGTATAAACTGAGGCTCGTTATAAGTATTCATGACAAGTTTAACATATTTGAACATATGTTCTTATGCTCGCTATATAAAATTCATTTTGGTCAGTTTTGTTAAGGAACGTATACATGAAATAATAATTTTTTTATAGAATGTGTTATATTTATAAACATTAAACATCACAAAAATCACAATACTTAGCAAAAAAAAACCCTTTTAAATCAAATTGAAAATTGCTTAGCCATAAACTAGATTTGTTCCATAACTATTGTTAACAATTTTAATATTATTTTTTGGGAATGGAAACAAATTTCTATTTAAGTGTGAATGAAGGGTTGAAATTAGTTCCTTATATTTTATATGAACGAATTACTTTAAAAAAAAATGTTAACAACTTGATTTTGGTGATATAGATGGACATTTGGACGCTTCACCTTGGCCCACCCATTGGTTTTACTTATAACTCAACTTTTGTAATTTATAGATTGTTTTTTGATGCAACTTTTATATCATTTAATTCAAATCATCAAAGTTTTTCTTAACTCTGCTAACACATTGTAAAAATGATTTTTTTTAAAATAAATATTACATTAGAAGAAATTTCAACATGTTTTGATAAGGAATTTAAATATAGAGTATTCAAATGCATTTCATTTAAATTAAAAAAATGTAGTTATGAATCATTACTGTAATTTGATTAACTATAAACGTAATAACTTATACCAGCCATTCTCATGTTATATCTAATTACCTCTTACCATTTTATGGACCATATTCTAGCTCTATTTCCATGCAACTACATTAATTATAAAACGACCATTTTTATTACTAATTGCTGTCCGCTCCTCTCTTGACTTGTTCATCCACATATACCATTAATTTAGGAGACATCTCTTTTCTTTCTACTAACCCTGCCAGGGTATTAAATACTATAATACTTAAAACTTATAAGAAATCTATTGATGCATAATTTACAACTAACAATGAGGCGATTCTTTCAAAATACAAGGTCAAAATTATTAAAAAAAAGTTATAACTAGTTTCAAGTTTTAACATGAAGGGTCGGTTATAGATTTGTGTCCATAATTTATCTTACCTTTAACATTGAGGATTTGCTTGGCCTCTTCGAGAGATATACCGGCTTTGGCATTAGCAGCGGCGTGCGCTGCTCCTGCGCGGCCACCGCCTGCCCTACGAGCAGCTTCTTGACTAGCTGCGTATTCTTGTTTGAGTGCTTTTGTAAACGCTTTACCGACTATCTGTGATCCAAGAATTATGATTTGTACTAAATATTTGGCCATAGTAGTATAATATGGTTTCAAATATTGACATTTGAAATGTCAATTTGAGGATATCAGGAAAAAGGAAAGCCCGTCCTAAATGACCAGCGAAGTGCGAACATGCATCAAATAATATTTATCCCATTGATAAGTATATACGTTTTAAATGATAACATAATACAAATTAAAAACGATTATGAACAGCTTAATCGCATGGTTACTGATATAATATCCAAGGCCATGTGTTCATATTATCACTTATCTCTGACGGCCGATTGGATTTAACTCATGGAAGAATATAAATAGTGGCAATTTTGAATTATATCAAAATGTTTGATATTTCGATTCATAAGAAAAATGTGGAAATCTACAGCTTATAATTGCTGAACGCACGAGTTGCAACTTGCAAATAAGTTAAATTGACATAAGAATGTGTTAATTTATACCTATAGATTATTTTACTGTGCACGGAAAATGACAGAATACAGTGCATCTATACAGGGTGTCCCACAATGACTCGACAAATAAAATAACTTGTTCTAGTGAATATTTTTTAAAAACAAATTTTTTAATTAATTTATACTCATTTGTCCTATAAGCACCACGTGTTTAATTGAACTTAACTATTTTACTTTTTTAATTATAGAGTAAACGCGTAGAGATATTTTTATCTGCGCGCATTAGTCTACCGCACTCCACCTCCCATCATACAATTTAACCTTTAGTAAGTTAAAAAGTAATTATCCAAATCTGGTTATCTACTAGTTAACATTTTCAGCAAATTATTCTTAATAAAATGGCTATCTTGAATTTAAAAAAAAATGTAACAAGAAGAATTTAAAAAAACAATTAAAAATAGTTAAGCGCAATAAAAACGCGGTGCTTATCAGCTTATAGCGCAAATGAGTATAAATGAACTTTTATAACGATTTAGTTAACTCGATTTGCATATCTATATTTATCAATGAGCTATGTATAAAAATATTGTATTTAGAATACAAAAATACGGTGTTTTTGAAAATTGTATTTCATGGAAAAATGTATTTTTTATAACCTCATCGATGAAAGTGGCGTGTAGCACTTAAAGAATGTATTTCTTCCGTGGCAACTGGCAATTTTTCCAAATCTACTGAACTAGGTATGTATAACAGATTAAAAAAAAAAAAAATTAGACATTTTTATCATTAATACAATAAATACAATTTGGTATATTGTTATTTATTTTACAGTTAAAAATACTTTTTTAATGTTTTATATGTATCTACTGCTAATAACGTATTTAAATTAATTAGTGTAAAATATAATGTGCGACGTGGAAGAAAGTTGGGAATCAGCTCACGCTGACTTTTCCATTCTGGATGATGATCTTATATTTATTTACTCATTTTTCGAAAGCTCTAAAACCTACGACTTTCAAGAAGTGCGAATGTGTTTGTATTGTTTTTATTATAATTAATTTTCCTAATTAATTAATTTTACTTTTTTTTTCATCAAGGATCGCCTAGACGTAAATAGTAACTTGAAGTTAGTCGCTGATAAACTGGGTGTAAAAAATACTCGTACACGTCTAATCCCGTTTCTGACTAATTATATTATTGCTGGAAAACTGACCGAGTTAAAAGAATTGGCCCTTATTTTAGGAGATTTTGAATGTTATGTCGGAGGACCAAAATACGCTCATGTTTTGCTTGTAAATATACATTTATCATCTGTTATCATGTAGCTATACTTAAATTTTTTAGTTTGTTAATTTTGTATAACATAAATAAGTAGATTTTTTTATTTAATAAAAATATTATAGTAGGAGTTATTCTAACGATTACTAAAGCTATAAAGTAAATTTATCTTAAAAAAATTTATAAAAATTGCTCTTAATTTTGCATAAATTATTTTTTTAATACAATTAAATTAATAATTGTTAGACCGAACGGTTGAACATTTTGACGCTTTTCTTTTCAATTGCCTATACATATTATGTTTTTTACGGTGCTATGAAAATTGTATAGTCTGGACTTAATTTATTGCGAAGTTATGGTCAAAAATGTGAATCACATGCTTCATTTATTCATAATGCAATACTGAGTTGAAGACTTTGGGGCAACAACAAGACTTGTCCTTTTTTTTTCAAAATGTTTTTAAATCCAAAAAAAAATTTTTTCAAAAAATTATAAACATTTTTTTTTAAAAACAATTGAAATTCCAAAAAAAATTCTAAACAATTTTTTTTGGAATTTAAAACGTTTTAAAAAAAAAAGTCTTCAATTATTATAAACATTCTTTGAAATTTAGAATTTAAACTATGTAAACTGATTAAAGCTTATGTGTAATGAGACTTTTTGTACATCTTACATTACTTATAGAACTATTTATCGTCTATTTTTCTGTGTTAGCAAGATACGAATGTTTTTTACAAATTTAAAAACACTACGGACTAAAGGATTTTCATTTTTTTTAGTGTTGATAATATTTTACAGTCTGCTACAATCGGTGATTTTCAATAAAATTATAACTTATTTTAGAAAACCAAGTTAAACAACAGCTTTAATTTGAAAAGGTTATTATGGCGCCGGATCGTAATTTTAAAAATCAGCAATTTTTAAAAACTATAAAATATTATTCAAATTGAAACGAATAAAATACATTGAAACCCTATTTTATGGGGATTTTTCGGAAGAAAACAAGTTAAACTTCGAGAAAACAGTTGAATTTTTAAAAAATGTATAATTGATAATTCATATATTTTTAATAACTGAAAGTAAATCCGCGTCCGACAAATTCTATGTTTATCAGCGTTCCTGACATGTATTATTCGCAAATGAGGGGAAAGAGTCTAATGGGTAACTTAGATTTTTTTATTATACTTCTAAATAATTATAAAGATAGAGTGAAGCTAAATTTTTATAATTGTTTTTATAAATTAAAACATCCTCATTTTTTACTTCTAAATTATAGTATTCATTATTTTTTTTTTACTGAAAATACGGGACAAGCCCAATGTTATTATTAAAAAATGAGACGTACTTTTATAAACGGCAAAACCAATGACACACTCCCTAACAAAAGACATTAAAAGTAAAGGACCTCTACATTAGCACTTATTAGGGCGTTTTGTGTAGAACCTTTTTCACTAGAACTTAACATTAAATAAACTCATTTAATACTACAAGAAAGAATAAATACCTGTTTTTATATTTAATTTTTTTTTAAACTTTTATAACGCATACATCTCCTTTTTTTATACTAAAACATATGCTTCTACTTCTATCAGTACATTCTAATTTCGTAATAATTTGTATTTGAAAAATTGCAATTTTTAAAGTTTCTTAATTATTTTTACAATAGTATTTAAAACGAAAACTAAAAATCTACTTCGATCGATACATCATAATTCAAGTATTGAAAAATCTATCTGTTTTCAAAGCTTTTGTCGAATTACGCATAACGCATTTCAGAGTACAAAATAAATAATGAAGAGTGGAATCAAAAAAGGCTTTAAGTGCCATTTTTCCTAAAAATTATTTTTTTAGCCAAAAAGGATGTATGTTTCATCGCCAATGTAACGCAATAAGGTAGAAATTTCATCGTCGATTGGCACTTACAGGCTTTTTTAAGTTTTGAGCCGTTTTCGACCAAAAATACACAAATTTAGAGGTTCTTTAACTGTTTTTAGTCAAATTAGAATTTTTTATACTCTTAGTTAACCTATGTATTATATTAACTAATAAAGTAACCTAAACTTTTTAAAAAAAACCTATAAAAGACAATTATTTTTAGTCACCATTGGAAGAATTAGCGGGTTGTAAATCGAGCGATGTCAGAATGGCTGCCGTTAGATCACTGTTGGCAGTAGCTGGAATCATGGAAGTCAGTGATTTAGAAGCATACTTTATACCAATGATTGCGAATATGGCGGTTAACGATCAGTGTGCCAAAAAATGGTCAGTTTGTCATTTGTTTTCCGCCGTGTATTTACGTGTCGACCCTGAATATCAAGGTAAGTATTTTTCCTATACGACATTACTCACATTTATAATAATTCAATTATTTCAGAAAATTTAATGCAGTATTACTACTATTTGAGTTCAGATACATTACCGTCTGTTCGTCAGGACGCGGCTAAATGTTTGGCTGACTTGAGTGAAGTAGCTCAGTTACCGGTCATCGTCACCAACATAATACCTCGATTAGCACAGTTTAGCGCCGACCAAAATGTAACTACTAAATATACTTAAGCAAAGGCAGATTTTATTTTTTAGTTCAGATTCGGAAAAATATATTGGTAGCAAAATCTAAACAAATGCAAATTTTCTAAAAAAAAAAAAAAAACTTTGGAGTATCTGCGACATAAATCCATATCTTCTTAATAATTGAACCACCTATTTATTATAAAATCATATTATAATATTTTGTTTTACTTGCAACAATAATACATTTTATACATGTTAAAGGAACATGTGAGGACTTTAGCTCTATCGTCGGCCATTATGATATCGAAACGCCTCGACGCGATCTTCACAGAACAGAAAATCATTCCGATCATACTGAATTCCATTGAAGATCGATCGTGGGGAGTGCGATTGACTGTCGTCAAAAACATTACCAAGGTGTTCGCTAAATTAAAAATTATACACGCTATAATACCCAACTATGTCGTTAAAATGTCATTTAAAAAGTTATTATTTTTTTTTATTTCTGTTTGTACGCCGATAAAGATGCTTGGGGTATTCGGGATAGACTGCAGTAAATTAACGGAAATCGTCATGCAAATGCTAACAAAGCTGACCAAAGACCAACAAGCAGAGGTTCGGTTTCGCACAGTGGCCACCGTATATGATTGTACCGTAATGTTATACAAAGGACTGTCGACCGAGGAAGCCGACCAAATCGTAGTAGACTACTTGATTCCGGCCATTTACAGTTTAAGTCGGGACAGCGATTTAAAATGTAGAATGGAGGTACCTGTTGTGCTAGCAAAATTTGGAAAGATAGTTCCTTCCGAACTGTGAGTTAAAATCATACAAAAGGTAAAAGTTAAAATTATGACTTTTAAAACTAATTTATGGGTTATGCCGTAGGGTAAAAGATCACCTTGTAGGACTGACGAAAGAATTGGTACAAGACCAAAACATCGATATCGTATTCAACGTGGTGAAACATGTCAAAGATATACTAGGAGTGAAATACACCGTGAGTATGACTAATAGATAAGTTTAGTCAAAGGATTCATGTAGGAACAAGTTTTCAAATCTAAAATTTTGCCACTAATTCGCGTGGGACCCACAAAGAATTCACATTTCCAGAAAATAATTTCCCGAAAGTTTGACATTGTTTCATTATATTATTAGGACATGGTAACATTGCCTGAAGATCGTTTGATCTGTTGTTTGAAAGCTTTTATTATCAACGATTCGTGGGAAATCCGGAATGCGGGAGCAATGCACCTAGGCACATTGGCCGTTCAAATGGGCATAACGTTTTTCGAAGAGTACTTGAAGCAAGCGTTTTACATTTTATTAGTCGACTCAAGTAAGTAGCCTAATATTAGAAACAATTTATAACTTGTATCTTCACTTGTATCTGTTGGATTGTTACACATTATCCAGAATCAGCTGTTCAGTGTACTGCGATGGAAGTGCTTAAAACGTTGGTAAACGAATTCGGAATGGAATGGGCACAGTCGTCGGTTGTGCCGTACTTGATAAATTTATCATATACAAGAAATACTTACAACAAAATGGCGTTCTTATCGTTCGCCAAAGTATGTGCAACCGTCATTTGTATACGATTTAGATCTTTAATAATGAACACGAGGGAAAATTTGGTAGAGCAATGATTTTTGTGGGATACACTTAAACCTGCTTGGAATATCTTAACTCATCAGTTGTATTTAAGATTTTTCTTTAAAAAATAATATTTTGCAAATTTTGCCCATGACATTTATGCGAAAGCTTAGTTTTTCAAACACAGTCTGTTTAATTGTACGTCCTAATGTCATTATTACCTACATCGATTATTATATTAGACATTTTGCCAAATCTGTGATCGGTTGACGCTGGAGATGTTATTCCCTTGTGTTATAAATATTCATTTGGACGAAAACCCAAACCTACGCTATGCCGTAATCAAAATCCTTCAACTGATGATGCCGCTATTTACGGAGTATGAAAATAATATCTAGTACCGTTTTCCTTTCGGGAGTTCATAATACTTAAACATTATTCCTACAGTAAAGGCGATAGGAAACTAATTGGTGAAATCAAAAAAGTGTTAAAAATATTGATCACTGATAAATGCACGCATGTCAACGAATTAGCAGTACGCGTTTTGGACGAGATGTTTGGTAAGTATTGAACGTCGGTGCTCTTCGCTTAAATATTGTTACTTCGACGTTTTTGTAATCCAATAGATTCAGATATTCCAGACAGCCATCGCTCGTGAATGGTATTGTTCAGCGTTTTTCCCTGAAAAGTAGTTATTTTCGAAAACATTCCTGCTACTGATTTTCCTCGCCGTAAATAATGTACGCACATCAATAGTTGTTAATTTTTAATGGCTTTGAAATTTAAATGATTCTGTTTCAAAATTATATGATAAATTGTGTATAAAATTGATTCCATTTAAACCTTTATCAGATTATTGACAATATGTTATCAGTTATATTAATAAAGTTTAGTTACACTTATTTAATAATATATGTAAAAATATACATTTTGTTGTTTTGTTTTTTTAGTATTTACAAATATACTTTGTAATATTTTTATATCATAATCAATGCATTACTGTTTTTACAGTTAACGAAGTAAAAATATAAGTCCATACTTATAAAACTACATTATATAATTTAGTACATTATTTTATACGCGTATCAATGAAAAGTAACTATCACAATGACAAAGTTATCAAAAATAATACAACACGATCCGTGGATTAATTTTGTACGCATTTTTATTTATTTATTAGCTCAATATCTATACCGCCTTAACAGCAAGTATGTTTTGTCTATTGTAATTTGTATTATGATGTACTATAAAAAATGTTATACATAAATTAGATAGAAAAAAAAGTACACTTTATGCTACTGTTATACATTATTAAGTAACCCTGTGAACACAAACTGGAGACAATCAATTCATTTAAAATTTGTTATTCTAAAAACCCTGAATTTCAGCAAACCCCTTTTATAATTCAGTAATACAAAATATATATAAGAAAACTTTTATCAAACATAGCTACGCTAATAATGTCACACTTATGTAAGCAATGGTGAATCGTAAAAAAAAAGTTATTAACTACTATTATAATTTTCATTTGGAAGCATTATACGTTTATGTAAAGTATTAAGTAACATTATCAGACAATCCATTTTTATATCGAAAATACTATGTATAACTTATCTTTTGATTTAACACCAAACGATTTGAAATTCTCATTATTCCCGCATCAGTCTTAAACAATTGTTTGACTTATCATTCCAAAAATATCATACATTTCAAAATTAGGTATTTATTCCACATTCCGTTCCTATATTTATATATATTATATTTATTAAGCTTTTTCATGATTCAACAGCCAATTATATATGTGGACTTCGTTGTTCTTGACCCAATGAACGTTTAACTGTATCATCTCCAAACTCTGTTCCAATGCCCTAGTGCCAGATCCTACATCTATGTTACGGAAAAAGTCTGATACTTCTTTGAAGTCATACTCGGTGGCAAAATGAGAAGTAACCGCTGTAATAAGACCCCCCATTGTAAATGTGCCGTTTCCAAACATAGTTTGTAAATTATCCCAATTCGCTTTAAGATGTCGCCAAGCTAACAGTTGTCCTTGAAGTCCTTGAGAAGCTACTACTCCCAGGACCATTTTTACATCTTGCGCTTTCACTTTTGACGGGTCTAACGTAGTCGACAAGTATCTGTATGAAAATAAAAACTTAAAACGTCTATAATAATTAATAGTTTATTTTAAACGGCATTTACCTTTGCAATAACCAAGGATCTTCCGTAGCACCTAGTATTTTAAGAAGCAATTTTCGTTCGCTGGGTACTCGACTTTGGTTATATTTGTCCCAACAATAGTTCCACTCTTTAACATCTCCGTGTCTAATTCCTAGAAACGTTAGAACCTTGATTAGTATCAAAATATATTTATAAAATTATAAACATCCTGCATTACCCGCTAAATAAACAACTTCTCTTAAATTTGGCGGTATTCGTTTATTTTCATACATCCACTCGGCAAATTTGTTTTTCGCTTCTTTAACCACGTCTTCGATTCCAGATAATATAGCAGAAGCTAATATATCTGATCTCATTAACCTAATATCAAAAAAAGTATCATACCAGGCGATTATAAATAGATTAAGCCAATACAAGTAAATTTAACCGTACTTTTCTAAATGTGTCCCTTCATCCTCCCAACCGACTGATCGTGCAACAGGACCGAGGAGACCCTTCATGTAACTCAAAAACATTCTATAAGGTGACGACTCCGATAGATATTTGCTCCAGTTTTGAAAGTGTTCTAAAGCTGTGGCCCATGGTACATAGTCTCTTTCCTTATATAAATACTTGGACAACTCCAGAGGGACTGTTACGTTAAGAACTCCTGCTCTGCATAGCGTGAATACATCATCGACTAAAGACGCTCTATCGGCGGCACTAAATACTTCGTGGTTGAGTTTCAGTTGGCCAATAAGCTCATCCCATAACCCGTTGTCATAATTTACTCGGTAAAACCCAGATTGATTTACGTTAGCTTTTAGCCATCGCACTTTTGGGTCTACTTCGAATCTCACTGCGCAAACAATCAGTAACCAAATAAATATATAACCATTAATAATAATAATAATATACAAATTTGCTTTGTTTTACAAACCATCAGTCATGTTCATCCAGACGACTTCTTGTTCGCGGAAGCTCGTGATATCCGTGTAAAAGCTTAATGGCACAAACCATTTGTACTCGTAAGGAGATGGTTCAGCTCTGCTCTTCACCTCGTGCGCTATTTCGGCAGTCAGTAGGAATCGACTTTGCATGGCAGTAAACGATACCGCGTTAGTCGATGATGAACTATTTTCGCGAGTGATTTTAATCACCGGAAACCCCATCTGACGAGTCCAAGTATCCATGATCGCCTAGAAAAGAACACATGCGTCAGTTAATAACGTTAAAAATATCGAATTGGCTGTAACACGCATACTTTAACTTGTACAGTTTCGTTAGCGTGTTTGCTGAGTACACTCCATAGATCTTTCGTATCCGCGTTGCCGTATTTGTGTGTATTGAGATAATCGTTCAAACCACTGCGCAAAGTTTCGAGACCGAGAAACTTCTCTAACATGTACAAAATAGCAGCGCCCTAGAAAAGCAAAAAAACATTTTGCCTTAGTCATTTGTACGCGAAGAACAGATAAAGGCGTTAAAAAAAACTAGAATTTTTCCACTGTCAGATCATTTTTTCCAAATTACTAACTTAAAGTAGCCCTAAGACCTACGACAGCTTCTTGTGATATTCAACCTCGGTCGGAAACTGGTATAGGTTGTAATATTTTATAACGATGGGGTAATTTTTGTCTAAGCCCAAGGCAATTAATTACCCATTAGCTAAACTACCTAATAGGTCAATCCTAAATTCATAAGCCCGGGGACAGCCCTATAACGTAGGGGGTGTGTTCTGACTAACCTTACTGTATGATATCGAGTCGAAGATAGCTTCGATTTCTACTGGGTCGTGCACGGTGACGCTTATCGGATGCGAAGTAGACAGTGCGTCTAACCTCAGACCTTGTTGGGTCTTGTCAAGCACGAACTGAGCCATCATCAGCCAACCGGGCATCACGTGCTCCACTCCGCGGTACTCCAAATAACTTGCGAATCCTTCGTTCAACCACAAGTCGTTCCACCATCGCATAGTCACCAGATTTCCAAACCACTGATGGGCCAATTCGTGGGCCACGACTACGGCTACCCACTGATGAGCGGCGGCCGATGTTTCGTTTTCGTCGTATAATATCGAAGTCTCCCTGTACGTGATTAGGCCCCAGTTTTCCATAGCGCCGGCTCCAAAGTCTGGTATAGCTATTAAATCTAATCAAAAGAGAATACAAATGATGATACACGCGCTGCTAAGTTGTGTCTATGGCCGTATGTCATCATACCCTGTTTCGGTAGCGGATAAGGTACACCAAAGAATTCTGTGTAATGGTCCATCACTTGGGTGGCGGTGTTCAAAGCAAACGTAGTTTGGGACAGTAGATCAGGGGGTGCGTATACTCGTACGGCGACCCCCTGCGCAGTTTGTGCATGTACATACTGATAATCACAAACGACAAACGCCACAAGATATGTGCTCATCTCCACGGATTCTTCAAAATCGTCTCTCATCTGGAACCCACCGTGGTTATTGGTCGTTTACGATCAGAACTATTAAAAGTATAATATTATCGTACCAGTCCGACTCCCATGTATAACCCGTCGTCCACGGACTCCTTGATCGGCATGTTAAACAACGCTATGTGAAATCTGTTTCTCAAAATCGACATTCGAAATCGCGCCTTAAACTGAGGCTCGTCGAAACATGGAAACGCCGAACGCGCGTAAGTTGGTTCGAAATGAGTGGTAGCCAAATACCTAAAAAAAAAAAATTGTCACCACACGTTAATTTAATAGCGATTAGTGTTTTTCGTTTTCCATATGCGCTTACCTCCTTTCTCCTCTGCCCGTGGTATAACTGCTCAAGTAAAACCCTTCTAGTTCTTTGCTCAGTCTAGTCGTATACCTGATGAGTAGAGTGTAATTTAATTCCGCCGACAACGTATCTTCGAACTCTAACAGTATTTGTTGACCCGCTGAGTATTCCAGCGTCCGGGACACTTCGAATCGTATTTCATGGTTATCGGCGTTCATCACATGCTGAAAAAATTAAAAATTAAAAAATGCACACCATACTGCAATTTTAACACTCACTTTGTCAACTAGGGTAAGATTTTTGCTGTGAAAAACTATGTAATCGGTATCGTGGGTGAGCCGGAAGTTGATTTGGACTTGACCTAGTAACCGAATGAACAATTACAAATGTATGGTCGATGTGACATGTATTTTAAGTATACCTTTTACGTCTAAGCTCGTCAAGTTAGGATGTATTTTTATGTGGTAGCTGTAAGGCCTAGCAAATGTCGGCAGTCGTACGTTGTTCCAAGGGAAAATGTCGCCGTTTGTGGCAATCGGTATGACTGAACGAGAGCGGTTAACTCCATCGTCGTCGGGCAAAAACATAGGTCTTTCGCCAATGCACGGGCAATCTATAGGTTTAAAAAAAATAAACAAATGTTACTTTTTAATTCTTAAAATATATAAATTGTCACATCCTCTTAAGAAGACGTCGTACAGTCAATTTTCGAGGGGACAAATTGACTATAAGAATGCGTTTTACTCACTCCGTGATGAATTTAGAGTTAAACCATAAAAAGGTATTTTACTATCGAAAACGAGGACTTTTCGGAGGGAAGCCATATCCGTTTTAAAAAATAAATCCTAGAAAAATGTTGGTAACTATTTAAAAAGTAAAAAAATGTTTAATACATCATTAAATGTCAAGTCAAATAATGAATATATTAAAACGTCATTCCCTTCAAAATATCGATTTTTTGGTAGATGTTTTTGCTTAAACCCCATAATGGACCATTTAAACGCAACCTAATGGCGTGCTAAATATTTTAGTAAAAAAATTGTGAAACATTTTGTTAATGGGCGTTATGAAGCTCTGTTGGAAAAAAATTCTAGAACTAAGAGTTTTAACTACTGTACTAATAAAATTACACACTGGTTTTCGAAAAAAATTCCCCATGGAACTCCTTAATAAATAATTGGTATAACGACACATACTCTTAAGGGTCCCAGACGTGGATATTTAAACATAATATAGCTAATTATTGGTGTAAAAGTGGTTTTATTAAATTTTAACGGTGTTAACTTATTTTCAGGTTAATTTTTTTCTGATTTATACCCATTTTAATTGTGAAAATGGCTTTACAAAAAAACGAGGAAGCGTCGTAGGATGGTTGGATTATTAGTAATTATTGCTTTTTTTAAAAGAAAAATACTTGTTTTAGTCCGCATTTTATAGATTTATTTTCGAAGGCCGTAATCAAAGTTCAAATTGTACAGTTATTTTAACCATAATTTTTGGTAGCTAAATCAACAAAATTATATTTATTTAAATTGAATCGTTTATTTATGGAAGGTGATAACTGATAAGTCCCACTTTTGTTAAAAATCACTTTTTTTAATAAATATGTTTTGTGGCTATAGAGGAATCTTTTACTTTTTAAAGTAGTCAAATTCGTATGATAGCTCATTTTATTATGGCGATTCAAATATTTAGTTAAATTTAATTAAATTTTGAAGTCAGGAAAAAAGTTTCTATTAATGATTCATATATTTTTAAATTCATAACAAAATATATTGGCAAAGTAATTTTGGTTTACACCACTCTATTGCACACAATCCCGTTTATGATTTAGTAATTTTATTTATGTAAGCAGTAAAATAACTCATTTGTTTGTGAAAATGGTGAAACTCGTTCAATTAAAACTTACTGTTGGTTAAAAAATACATTTAAAAATGTGGTATTCACAAATTTAAACACATTTAGATATAGTGCATAAGACTTCAAAATATTTTTTTATACATTTTTTCAAGTAAAACTGTATGTGGAAAACAGTTATTTTTAATTTCCCGAATGTTTAACTTTTTGGACTAAACAGTACCTAAACTCCTTTCATCGAAAATCGAATCAATTAGTATGTTGTACTCGCACATATTACAATACAAATCAATACAACATTCAAAATAAACCGAATGTCATTTAACAATTTTGGTTGATCAATTTTACGTGAGGGTGGTGGGACGTGGGGTAGTCGAAGGGATGGAGTGAGTGGACCGTTTCACTACTCCTTTTACCTAACCGGCGCCTGATATGAGCGAGGTTGCCGGCTCAGCCAAATCAGCAAAAGTACCTAAGACGATACAAAATAAAGTTTTTAAAATATATTTTTCCTCTGCGGTAGTCGGTGTATATTAGTCGTTTGCTAAATAATACATATATATATATATATATACCGATAGGGTAATTTTGTAGGCTGTAAACGTATGGAACGTTAGTCGCTCGATAAAAGTTAATAATAATTTTATCCTTGACCCGATATTGCCGACCGACGGCCTGTATACAAAAAAAGTACAATTTTATACTTGCCATTTTGCGGACCGGCGTAAGCTATGAGCAGCGAACATAAAAACATCAAAAAAAGGGTAGTGCTCGCCATGATCAACGCTGTGCGCCTCGAACAGGCCGTCACGGCCGTGTGTTCGTAGATGCTGGACTTGTGCATGATGTCTTGATTGTCCCCTAATACAACAGAACGGTTTTAACGATACAGTTGACAAACGCCATTAGAATTGTTGCATACTGTAATGGTTGATGGCTGTCAAAAACGCTACATCTTCGACTTCGGGCTCCGCCATCGCGCGACGGTGGTGTTTCGGTAAGACCTGAAAAATGATGTGTAAAGCTTTACTGATACAAATGCTACTGCTGGAACGACGCCGATGTAATATACAGACGGCAATGTTCTATTGACGTTTTTCGCCCTCTACTGGGCATGCGCTCAATAACGGCAACCCCAATATCAGAACAACCCTTCATTTATATACATTGCCGAAGGGGATGTTCAACGGCACCGGCATCTATCCTTTGCACTACGTAATTTGCTCTTGTGTAGTTTGATAAAAAAAAAAAATGTTCATGATATTTCCATTCGGAGTAATAATACTCATCTATAATACTCTCTAAGCAACGATTATCAAGTGAAACAAGACTAGGTAACGCTCTGCTTAGGTCGAACAGTTGATGTTGATCTGACTATTCAGTTTATATTCTTCACTTTATGATTTTACATTATAAAATACTTCGTCGAAAAGGTATAGGAAACTTTCTGATATTTTACTTCCCCACAAGCGTTGCAATACTAATCACTACTTTTTTACCTATAGATACAAATTTTGTTATGCATACCTAATACTATAAATATTAGTATAATAGCAGTAATAATATTTTTGTATTGTTATAGTACTAACCATAACTATTATACTAATGTTACACATAAATGCATCGTCTGAACTTTAATTCAGAGAGGGGACGAATTATTATGTAATGCATAGAATTATAAATACATATAGTTTATAACATTATAAATTCAAATTGGAATAAAAATTACTCAAAGGGGATTGCCCAACCCTACTAAATACGCCTTCAGTTAACCGCAACATGACAAATTTTGAAAGAAAATTGATATATGGGTTGGATCAACATAATCGATATAAAAAAAAAAAAATAGTTACTATTTTATTATAGGTTTTTGGTATTATGGTAAACTATTGTAGTTTTTAATTTAAAAATCATTGTGCTTTATTATCGTGGATGGTTAATTATATTATTTCAAAAGAATAATAATACTATAGTAGTAATATTGAATACTACTTTAAAATTATGTAATAGTTTTTCACTTGTAACCATTATAGTTGATATCTTTCAGAAAGGAACTCATTAGTATCTTATAATAACATAGTTAAAAAATTAAAAAATTACCAAATACTTATATAAATGTACAAAATTATTTATACTGCTATTGTACCGAAACAAAGACAACATATAATATTCAATACACAACATAACATAAAAATATTATATTATATTATAAATTTAATGGTGTATTTTAGTATATACGTTTTTACTAAAATAATTGTTTTCATTATAATGTACCATAGTAATACTATAAATTAATTATAATCTATATTTATACATAATTATTTAAGCACGAAAAATGGAATTATTTATAAGAAAAAAAAGTATGTATAAAAAAATTCAAATTAGAAATGATAACATAATGTCATTTATAAAACAGATAGTAGAAAAAAGTAAAAAATTTAAATAAACTATAGACGATTATTTACATTATTTATAAAACGTATTGTCAAAAATTCAACATTTGACAATTTTGTATACATATAATAATTAATAAATGAATATATTACACTCATTTTTTGCACAAACAAGGTACATTTAAAAATTCAAAGTAACAGCCCAAATGATATGTACTTTAATAATCTTATGATACACAGCAACTAGATTTCTCTTGCACATTTCCATTAGCTTTTTCAATTTCCATTAACATAGTATGGAATATATCTGCTACACACTGTTAAAAGTAAATATCACACAAGTTTTATATTAAATAGTAATGATAATAATGTTATCATGTTCTTAAGAGGATGCGACTCCTCCCATTTATAAGGAGTAAAATATCGGCAATTTTTTGCAAAATTATAATTTTGAGCTTGGACTATAGATTATACTTATTAACACAAAATAAGGTCTGATTATTAATTGTAATGACTATCACAGTCATTCTTATATAATAAATTCCAATTTATGTTTCTATCAAAACTGCTTTGCAAGGGACAAAGTTTTTCACAGTAAAATTACCAAATTTTCACAATACAAAAAAGAGAACATCATTTGTGGTCTTTTTTTTTTTAATAATAACATTGACTTTTAATAAACAAAAAACAATTTTTTTTTTTTAGAAACGTGTATTGTAAGAACTTTGTAATTTTACTACGAGTACAATCCCAAAACCCTTGTCCCCTACACAACGAGTTTTGTAGCCAAAATAAAGGTAACGTGGCATCCTCTTAAAGTATGATTATTAATTCTAAAAGAACTTGTTTTTTTTTTAATTGCCTCATTCTGTTTAGCTGAAGCTTCAAGAAATACTGCTTTCCATGATTCTGCTAATCTACGACCTTCTTCTTGACTAATTACACGGTCCATATGCAAATCTTTTTTGTTTCCAACCAAAACTACAGGAACACTGTAAGCAAAAACAAAGGAAAATTACATAAGTCTATATTGAAAAATAAATGATGTGTGACGATAAGCTATACTTCAATGTTATATCATATAATAGTCTATGTTACAATGTATATTTTACGTACAGAAAACTGTATGTAACTAAATGTTTTTCTATAGTACCTTATGTATTCACAAATTAATATACTAACAGTTTTTGACAAATAGCTTATATTACTAACCCTAGCTGTTATGATCTGTTCAACACATTAAACATATAACCACACCATACATTTCTAAATCACATATAACAAAAATTAAAATGGATAACTATATTTTACTCTAAAATTAATACATTCAAGGTAAGGTTTGAGAGTAACATAACACTTGGAGGAGGTATATATATATATATAAATAAAAAAAAATAGAGACAAATTTGATGTATTACTGGCCGACAACACAGACTTTAAGTTATCTTTTAAGAACACTGTTTGATTATACCTTTTGTTATTTTCTTATTTAATAAACTTCCGCCTATTTAGGAAATTCATTATTCAATTTAATTACTTTTTGATATAGAAAAAAGAGTGAGGTTCCCATTAATACACAAGTACCTTTAGTTCTCTTAATTCAAAACTTACTGTACTTTACCAGTCATATCCAATAACTTATCATATATTATTTGAATAATTTCAAACGATTTTGCAGATGTTATGTTGTAAACCAACACATAGCCGTGAATGTCCATTGAATATTGTGTCGGAAGTATGGAATATTCATCTTGTCCAGCTGTGTCTACTAATTTCAGATCATATTCTTGGTTGTTTACTTTGGTAGTTTTAACAAATGCTATGAAAGAAAGACAGATTGTAATTTATATTATAACATAACTTATTACCATTATTGTTAAAATATTCATATGTTGTGAACTCATATATTTCTTATTTAGGTAAAATATTTAAGAGTTAATACTTACTGTTTTCAATTGTAGGATCGTAGGAATCAACAAATTGACCTTCAACAAACTGAATACTCAAAGACGACTTACCTACAAAACAAATGAATAAAATCACTTAACCCAAAAGAAAAATTAATATCTCGTTAGTCATTTCACATAAAACATGAATACACAAGTATGCGGATGACTTTAATATGTTTAGATTACATACCGACAGACCGGTAGCCCATGATGGCAATTTTTCTCTGTTTTGGTGGCATTTGAAAAAAATATAATAAATAAATAAAACAGTTCACTTTATCTTGTCATTCATTTGTGTTTATCAATGTTATCATTGTCAAGAAGGAATACGGAAGCAGGTAGTACAGAATAACCAGAAGAGAGAAATCGGTAAAATTGTTGCATACAGCATACTCAATACTGCATAGACTTATAGAGCAATGGACTGATAGTAGAGAGAGAGATCCGAGGGTCGATCACAGGTATGCCATAGAAGAAATAATATCATGAAAAAAATAGTAATATGATAATACTTGATAACGAAATTGTATTAAAACTGTTAATTGTTAAATGTTTAATTAATTTTTATTTAAATATTAAAATTCGATATTTAAATAGTTTTTTACATAAGGGTGTAACAATGCATAATTCGTTCTTGCAAAATACAAATATGCAAACATATAGGGTATAAAAACCTGGTTGCGACTCTGAAAAGGCCTAATTGTTATGAACTGTTGTGGTTCAGGGTTAGAGCTTATTTAATAAATCCACCTTGGATACAATGGCAGCTGCTTGGATAAATTGTATACCTATTGAAGGTAGGTATAAATTGTATTTCTACTACGTAGGTTTTACTCCTACAGTTTTTAGAGCAGCTGTTTTACAAAAGAGTAAAGAAGTACGACGATAGTCAACAGTGTATACCATCGAAAAGATATTATTTTTGTCAACGAAATTTCATGGAACAAAAAGTTTTGTTTTGAACACAGACGCAGCTGACAATTAGTAATAATTGTATAACTTATAGTTTATACTGCAATGTAAATTATAAACACTATAATCTGTAATTTGATTTAACCAAATTTTTCTAACAATTATTTTTTATAATATACTACTTGATTGAAAATAGCACGAATGAATGAACATTTAAAAATTAGTTTACCTATATACAGGGTGCGATTCATTAACGATAAAGCCCTATATTTTTTCTTAAAATAATTGCTAATTCTTAATTTTATTTTTTGTTGCGTATGTTATTTTACAATATTATAAAACTACTAAATATTTACCTTTTTAGTATTTCTCTCTGAGCTCAACTTTTGAAACTTCATTGGGGATGTATATTATATTTAATTCACTTTTAAAATTAGAAATTATTTGTTGAAAATGTCGACTGGTTGATAACCAGTTTTTGATTATTACTTTTAAGAGATTAAAATCGAGAGGGGTAGTGTAGTTAAGAAATACAGATAGATCAAAATAATACTTTTCACTACCCTTTCTCCCATCCTAAACTTTAAACTCTAATAACTTAAAAAATAATAATCTAAAACTAGTTATCGACCAGTCGACATGTTCTGTAAATTGAGTTTATACGTTTCCACTTAAATTTCAAAAGTTCATAAAACAAGTTCTAATAAAGGTGAATATCTTGTAATTTCATAATATTGTACAATAACATAAATACAAATGTTTTCCACAAATAAAAACTATAAAATTAATTATTTTCTGAAAAAATAGTGTTTTACATTAAATTGATGATGACCCTGTATATATTTTGGGGAATAAAATATTAACCACATTTATATTACTTAGTACTTAGTAGTATGATAAAATTTCTTCCGTTGATGCGTACAGTACAAGTTACAAACTCAACTACAAAACTAAAATTGTATCCTTTAACATTTGCAACATTTGAAAAAATCATTCTTAATTTATTTAATACATATGGCAAAATTAGCACCATTTTTAGTTTTAAACTAAAATTTTAGGTTATCTTCATTTTTTAATTTGTCAGTAATTATTACAAAATAACAATTAATGCTAATGACATCATAACAATAATAATATTAAAATTATATCAAAACATATTAATAAATTGTTTATTTTTTAAATTATTCTTCATTTTATATAAATTTGTCTTATAGACTAAAGTTACAAACTTATTGTATTTTATTTTATAATTAACGGAATTATACACCATTTTGTTCATTAGAAAAAAGAACAAATACATATACTTAGTTATATAGAAAAATGAAGTCCTATGGAGAAATTATAAGTAGAACATTTAAATTTTTTTAATTAAGTAAATAGAAATAGTATTCACAACAGTAGTATACTGTATAACTAATAACAATAACAATAGTTTCAATGATAGTTCCTATGTTCATTAAGAAAATACAAACATGTACACAATATTAAGACAAAAATAATTCAAGATAACAGTCATCAATACATCTTATTATAATAATTCTTTCATGAAACTCTACAGCTTGATTTTTCTTGAACGTTCCCATTAGCCTTTTCGATTTCCATCAACATAGTATGAAATATATCAGCCACACACTATAAAAATAAAAATAATAATAATAAACGAGTTACACAAATACTTATTTAAATAAATTAATAAATAAAACCACAGTATATTACGGAACAAATATAATTTTTATAGAATATTATTCAATTTTAAAATTAAATTGAATCTTCACATTTTAGTTGACAACATCCTACTGAAAATAATACATTTTCACCAGTTACAGAGATAAGACTGGGCAAGCCTTAACTTAGCAAACAAGTTTATAAGCAGCTAATAAAATTAAAGAAAACATTAACTTACGTTTTTTTATTGGACAACAAATGTAATAGACCCGAGTATTAGTAAAGGAAACTGATTAACAGTAAGAGAGAATCAGGGCAATCTTTTACATGTTTTTTGAAAACAAGTCTCATTATAAATGTTACCAGCACACCTACTTAGTTATTTTATTTGGTAATAGTATAACTATTACTCATCGCGGAGAGCAAATTCGTTAAGAAACTATCTCATGATATTAGTGTTAGGCCTTCATGCCCTGTTAAACTACATGATGATAATACCTTTATATTAGCCTAATAACCTAAAACACCACAGGCATAAAAAGATATAAACAAATATTAGCAGATAGTTACTTACATTGTATTATTGTAAAGGTAAGTGATATTATACTTATTGTAATAGAGAAAAATATTATATACATATTTACACAATGGTATTAGAAACTAAATAATAAAATAAATAAACAAAATTGCTGTACTAACTTTTTTGGAAGTTACCTCGTTCTGCTTAGCCGAAGCTTCTAAAAATACAGCCTTCCACGATTCTGCTAGTCTTTGTCCTTCTTCCTGAGTAACTACACGGTCCATTTGTAAGTCTTTTTTATTTCCAACCAGAACTACCGGAATACTGAAAATAATACAACAATATTATAAACACAAATATATGATACATTGAATCAGATCTATCTACAGACAACACACAAGAACTGATTAATACTTACTGAACTTTTCCTGTCATGTCTAACAATTTGTCATAAATAACTTGAATAATTTCAAACGATTTAGGTGACGTTATGCTGTACACTAAAACATATCCATGAATGTCCATTGAATATTGTGTTGGGAGTATGGAATACTCGTCTTGACCAGCAGTATCTACTAATTTAAGATCATACTCCTGGTTGTTAACTTTTGTCGTTTTAACAAAAGCTAGAAAGAAAAACATTACATTTTTACACATGAACTATTTAACTAAATATAATTGATGTAAAGGAAATATTTACTGTTTTCAATTGTTGGATCATACGAGTCGACAAACTGTCCTTCAACAAATTGAATACTCAGTGAAGACTTTCCTAAAACAAGTCATTGCAAAAAAAAGAAAGTAAAGAAGTGAATCAATTCAATATTGTGCTACTTTACTAAACAATAAAAATGAAAATTTAAATAATTTCTATACATACCGACAGAACGGTAGCCCATAATTGCGATTTTCCTTTGTTTCGGTGGCATATTTGAAAATGGATTGAGATCACTTCATTTAAATTCTAAAATTGGAAAGATCACTAGTACACATAGAGTTCAAAAAGGAATTTCCTATACTCAAATAGAAAGATTACACCAACAAAATTAGTCAGTTATAATACTGGAATTTGAAACACAATAATTACCTACTACGTTTCATTTATAAATACTACGACTTTTTGCTATTCGTTTTTATCACTATCAAGACCGTTTGACATCAGCCGTTGAGGACGGTTTGAGGTTATGTTTGTATTTGTGTATATTATTCAACCTTGAGTGCAGTGCAGTGCACTATAATATAATTATTACAAACGGCATACTTGTGTAATTTGTCAACTATAATATTTTAATTGGTACCAATACACAAATGGCAACATCGAGAATAAAATAATTTAATTTGTATATCATGCGTTTTGTTGCCGTATAAAACTTTTAACCATTGGGCATTGTCATTTGTTCATTGAGTATACATTGGATATAATATACATTATACAATATAATATAATAATATATACTCAATTTTATAACATTTTTGGTATATAATATATAACATATAAGCGGGTACCAACAGTTGTTATTTAAATAATTGTAATGAACGTCGTCTTATTACCAGACTTTTTTTTATCTAATTGTACTTGTACTCACTACATACACGAAATATTATAAAATTATATATTTTATTACAATTATAAATTCATAAGTCCGTGCTTAAGCCATTTAAGGGGATACCGATAATTGTAGCATTGAAGAATCGCGAATAATGTTTATCCATTTGACGTATTTTTATATGGCCATCAACAACTACGGTTGTGGAAGAAATAAGAATAAATATTTAATTTTTTTTTTTGTTTAATTGAAAATCCAATGAAACCAATTAAACTGTTTTTAAATTACTTCTCCTTTAAATTGAAATATGCAACTCCACAGCTATTGTATACTTTATATTTTTAAGCTACCTATAATACTTTTTAGCCGTCTGGAATGGTTAAGATAATTAAATATATCTATGTTTAAAGTTAATGAGTAATGAAGCTGTATTTAATAGTTAACCGATGTCAGATCGATTATATGGCATTACCGGCGACTGAGAGTAGCTGTTCGTCTATGTTAATTGCTTACTTAACAATTAATTATTATATTGGCATATAAATATTATAATAATATTGGGTATAATGTATCCAAATTGTCATAAATAACCAATGCTTTGAAATTTAAACCTAATATATAAATAATTGTTCAATAATTTATTTCCGCTCTTATGATGGGATATTATTATAATAGCATTTAGCAATAACATTAATCAAACCCTTATCCATCTTCCTGTGTGGGCCTTGATCAGTTGAAAATGTCTATCAGGTTTTATTTATATGACAAGTAAAATAAGATCTTGTTTTAATTGGTAGTGATAAAAAACAATTAAATTAATTAAAATTGTTTTATTTTGTTTATTCAAAGGGTCGAATGAAACAGTTAATACAATTAATAAAAGTAAAAGATTAACTTTGACTTGTTTCGATAAAAGTTATTTCAAACATTTTATTTACTAACTGGATTTATATAAGTTTTTATTTAACAGTTATTATAAACCATTTTCATGAATAAATTTAATGAAAAAAGTATTATGCTTTTACGTTTTTATTAATAGGAAATGTAACATACAACTTAATAATCATTTTACTATACTATATGCATTTAACATAAAAATAATTTAAAATATTTTGAAAATTTAAATTTCAAATGATGATACTATATCAATTTAATATATGTATAATCAAATATTCATAGTATAAATGACAGTTTATTTTTTTTAAAAAGCAGCCAAATATTTAACAACAAAATCATATCAATAACCATAATGAAAAAACATTTTTTTAAACAATTTTTTATTAATAAAAAAATGTAATTTAAACTTAACGTTTTAAATGCTGCCATCATGATAAGATGGGGTCTGGACGAATTCGCTATCCTTTACAAAACTTACTAACAAAACATTTAAATTTAATCTTACTAACAAAAAAAAAAATTTAATTTAACTTACAAAATATTTTCAAGAGTTTCATTGCCAAGGTTGTATCTATGATCATTTAAAACATATTTTAAAGATGAAAATCCCCTTTCTACAGCTACTTGAAATGCAGAGGAATTATGTACAACCAAAGCCAATTTAATTTTTTTATTTTCCCATTAAGTTAGTAAGATAGTTGAATAGTTTTTTTCGTACTGAGCAGTCAAATAATAACGATCTTGCATTATAATTGAATTTTTTGTACATATAACTTTTATTTTAGAAGGAAAAAGTAAAAGTTTAACTTAAACTTTTTTAGCTAGAACTTTTATTTAACAGTTTTAAAAAAAACTTTTTTAAGCTAGAACTTTTATTTAAAGTTTTAAAATAACTGTTTCGATTAAACTTTTATAAATAAAAGTTTTTTTCAAACAGTTATATTCGAACTCATTTTTTTAAAAAAAATATGAAAAATTTATTATAATAAAAAATACCTAACCACACTCGCCAATGTTCGACAATATGAAGTACCAGATAGATTATTTTTTTCAACAAATGATTTCGTTGGTTGAATAATGATATTGCTTATTCTCTTTCTGGTTCGAATCAGCTTACACTCTTGATTTGTAGAGGTTTTTTTCAAAATAGTACTCATTTTTATTATTTGAATTTTGTCATAAATGTTTGCCGCCGATATAGTGTTAAATCCTATAATTCGTTATACTATATACGACCAATTGTTCATGGAAGCTAAAGACAATATAGTAGTAGTATTCCCCCCCCCCCCCCCCGAGATTACCCCTTTGAGACCGTGTCCAGTTTCAAAACAAAAAATCTAAAAATATTCGTTTTCCTACTTATTGCCAACACAAATAATATTCGTTGGTAGGTAATATACGTTAGGAGAAAATTGAATATCTTTTTTAGGACTTTAAATTATTTATTCATATTTGATAAATTATTATTTATTTGTTAAATGATTATTATTTTATTTACTGTATTTTAGTTATTCAATAAGTGTGTGTGTACAGTGACACACATACATGTTGTTCCTTGAATTGTGACTATGTTATACTACCAGAAAATATGTTGATCTTTGAATATTATGTGCAATTTTGATAATGGATAATAATATGCTGATAGCCATGCTGTGTGCTCTTTTAGTCTATGGCCACGTAATTTCAGTTAATTAAAATAAAACTGCTCTTTCCATCCGTTCTGCAAAAAACTCATTAACCCCTATTCTGCCGCAATCGGGTGAAAATAAAAAGAGAATGCAATTACTAAAAAAAATGTAATACAAAGGCATTGAATACAAATTGCCATCGAAGCTTTAAAACTAATATTCAATGATTAAATAAATAATATATTTTATTTAAATGTTTAATGTTTTATTAACACGCTTATATTAGCTTCACTTGTATGTATGTTTGTATGTTTGTTTGTATGTAACTATGTAACTAAAAGAGATAGGCAACCGAACGTACATGCGTGTATTCATTGTTGTTTACCTGAAGTTTTCAAGTAATAGAGACACGTATGTACTAGAATTAAAAAAACACGATTTTAAAGCACATCGAACTAAAAAGTGGAAAATAAATATAGTTTAAAAAAACTAAAAAACACGCTTAAATAGTAAAATAAACTAAAGAGTAGAAAATAATTTTCAATATAGAAATCAATTAATAAAAAATAAATAGTATTATTGTGAAAAAAGTGTGGGGCGCTTTTCAAGAACTGATATATGTAGCACCCCACACTTTTTTGCACAATAATACTATTTATTTTTTATTAATTGATTTCTATATTGAAAATTATTTTCTACCCTTTAGTTTATTTTACTATTTAAGCGTGTTTTTTAGTTTTTTTATTGTCAAATACTCCAATTCAGTGTGATTGGTTAACTATGACTCAACCACAGTTATTTTAACTTTAATATGTGGTAACATGTTTGACACTAACAATAATTAGTAAGCGAGATCATTGTTAAAAGTACATAGATAACCGATAGAATATACATTTATGGCAACCCATTAAGTTAATAGAATGAACCCCAAAATTGTTTATATTAAAAGCGCTACCAAAAACCATATTACAACGAGGTCTATCTATCTTAACGTTTTAATGGTTTTTAAATTTTAGGCGCGTCGTATAGGCAATTTCTCAAACATTTAAGCAAATTCATACAATCAAATAAACTTGGGCGTAACTACTAATATTACACGAACCTATCATAAAATACTAACACAATTAATTTCTTATTTCTATACTTGTACATGGCCTATGGGGTGCAGACTGCGGAGGCCTCCTCAAACACACAAATTAAATTATAGTAATAAATATTAAAAAAAAAAATTATAATATATTGTTTTAGTATATACTTATTAAAAACAATAACATTGTACATTGTATACTTCAAAACAAACCTCTCGAACCATCATTTGAGCAAATTCATTTTAGGAACTCGCAGGGTTGTTTTTGGCGTCTAGTGATGCAGGTTGAACATAGATATATTATTAGTTATTACACAAAAATCACTTCAATTGTGAGCAACTCGACTTTTTAAAATATGGGATTATAAAATTTTTTTGGGGGACAGTTTTCGGACTTAAGGTCTGATATTAAACTAATAGAAAATGTAGCCCTGTCCTACTTTTCTATGTTAACTTTTTTCTATTTATTTTAATTTAAATTCAAAGCTGTGTTTTTGTTTTATTATGTTTGAAATGAAAAATTCATTTCTAACATATCAAATGAATGGCGTTATGCAAAAAGCAATCAACCCACAACAAAAAACCTCGATTTTTTTTTGTGGGTTGGTTGCTTTCTGCATAACGCCATTCAAATAACCACTAAAGTATCGCCAAAAAAAGTTTGTAACCATTACATCTATAACTTAAAATATAGACAATTTTATATACGTTGAATTCGTTAACATAATTATATGGATTAAGAATATATAATAAAACTAACTATGAACAGAAAATCTCAAGTATTTGACAGCACTGGCTCTTACAAATGTTCTGGAATAATAATTGTCTACTGTATAAAAACAAATCACTAACTATATAGCAATAGCAATAGCTATCTAGAAATACTAATAGCAATACCTTATCACTATTAAATTGGAGTCAAATCGAAGCATAGTTTTATTTGATCTGAAGGGGTCATTCCTCGTGAAATCACCTAATGTGTGTGCGACTATAGCTTAAAAATGTTTGAAATTTGTATCATACATTCTTTTAGGTTATAATTATTCTTAATGACAAAAAAATAAAAACACATTTTTTTTAACCCTCAGAATTTTTTTTGAATTTTTCAAAAAATCTTATGGTCAAAATTAAAAAATAAAATTTAAGTTCTTATGACCCATATCATCTTTGAACCAATGAAGTTTTTTTTTATTACTTATTTACGGTTTCAAACATGGGTGGTTTGCTGAAAACTACTTACTTTAATGACCTGGTTTCATTTTTTTTTTTTTAATTTTTTAATTTTTAATAAATTTTGATACCGTTATACTAAGGAATAAATCGAATAGTTGCGTAAAATGTGTATATTTCCAATAAGTTTAATCGGAAAATATGAACCCTTAGAACTGATGTTAGAATAATTTGTTTCTCCATCATCAGACTTTTATCAGATGTTCTACTCACTTATAAGTAAGTATTGTATGAATTTGGAAAATTTTCGTTTAGTCACATAAGTGATGCAGGTCATTAAAGGAAGCAGTTTTAGCTTACCACTTATGTTTGAAACCGTAAATTAATAGGAAAAAAATACTTAATTGGTTCAAACTTCAAAGATCATATGGGTCTTCAGAACATAGCTTGAGTTTTATAAAAGAAAAATACTTTTTTTGAACTGTTTATTTTTTAACCCCAAAAAAAGTTTTTGAAAAATTCAAAAAATACAAATCTCTCAGGGTTAAAAAAAAAATATGATATATTAACTAGAATTTTAACTGTGCAGTTTTCATGTCTATACCGCTATGAGCGGTTAAACTATACGAGTAGACTCGGGAACATGAGGTGTTTTTGGATAATTTTTTTTAAAACTACATAGGTCCAAGAAAAATGGTTAAAAATTGTTTTCGTCATTAATAATAATTATAACCTATAATATAAACCTATATATATAATGTATGATAAAAATGTCAAACCTTTTTGAAATAAAGTCGCACACTATTAGGTGATTTCACGTGAATAAATTACTCAAACTTTGGTACAAGTTTCGGCGTAGTGCAATTCTGTCCATTATGTATAAATTATTATTATAAGAAAAAAAGGTCTTAACTGTTTTTTTCCCTGATTGGTATTGCTTTACATTACATATTAAATTTTAGCTTAATTGCAAAACTAAAAATGTATTGGTTGTATAATTATGTATATTTTATCTGTGTTTGTATCCCAGGCTACAATTAAGTTGGAACTGCTAAACCGGTTTCTTCTAGAGTCAAGTGTCAAGTCAATCGAATAAAAATTGCATTCAGAAGGTATCTCGGGAGAGTTTTTTTACTAAGAGTTAATAGGTAAAAATTACAATGAACTTTGGTACATTTAGGGTACAGGAAATTGAATGTAGCCGTTTCGACAATACAATTGCTTGGTTTCGTTACTGGATAGCTGTAGAGACTGACGTTAGTGAGGGTAAGTCGCATCCCTGATCCCTCTACCAAATAAATGAAGATGAAAATATTTGTATATTATGTTATAATGAATCACAAATCACAATATATATAATTGATTGTTATATAGATTTCATAAAAAATAAAGTAATTTTTGTACGAGCCATAACGTAGTTTAATTTCATGTACAAAAGAATAATTCCTCATTGAGAAAAATCAGAAATATTGGTAAAAATCTCTAAAACTTTATTGACAATATATGTTGAATAAAGAATTTAAATATATTACAGAAATAAATATAAATTGCACGTTGTCTACAAAGTATGACATATGATTAATAGAGTACAGTATTAGGTTATAGTTTAAAACTAAAACAGTAAAAGACTATCACAGTACTGGAAAAAGTTAGCTTAGAGTTTATCACGAATGCAGTAAAAAGTGGGTCGAGGTAATTATTATAATTTTAAAACAGTAGTAGTATAAAAGATAGTATGTATTAATAGGTTATCCTTTATAATATAAGTAAACTATTTATATATAAGATATCTAAGTGATTATAGTCAATAGTGTAACAGTAACACCATTGATTAATAATAATACTAATATTATTAGCTGTTTGCAAAATTTCAAAAGTAATCATTTTTTCAATCCAAACCCGGAACATTGAACACAGATGTATTATACCTATGATTTTTTCTTCCTACATTTCTAATATTTTATCTAAAATAATTTCTGATTTACAACTCATTATTAATTATTTAAGTCTTAGTTATTGTTAATAACAATTAAGGTTGAATGATTTAATTTATTCTGTAGTGGTATATATGTATATATATAGTATATGCTTACATTTAATTGTATAATGTAATTTTTTATTAGATACCATACTTACCTAGTTCAGTAGTCTGTAATTGTTGAGCTGTAATGCAATTTTAAACAAAAGCCAATAAAATAAAATCGTTTCTGATTACAAGCGGTCATTATGGGCCAGGCTATATGTAAGGCAGTATAAAGTATAACCTATTAAGTATTAAATATGCCGTTTATGTAATACGCTACGTCGAGACTATAATATATGATGCGTTTGAATCCAGATCACTTGGTCATTGATGAACGACAGTAGCCGGTTGAGTGTAAAATCCGCGTAGATCCGGATCGCGTCATAATCGTCAATTTTATGGCTATTGTCTCTCGATCGATTCTTGTGGGGCAGAATAGGACGCGGAAGACGATTGAATCGTGAATTCTTGACGGCAATTTGTCGGCAAATAACCCCATCTATAACGGCTATGTGTAGCTATTTCTGTACAGAGGATGTGCGCGTCGTATCTATTAGTTTTTTCCCGTCTTTCGATGATCGCATTTTTACGCTGTAAGTGTCGACAAGTACTTTACCTGCGCGAGGCTGGAGGGCTGAGTGGGAGTGACCGATGGGAGTGTCCGCCGGCGTCCGTTGGTGGGGAGCGAAACGTGCGCTTCTCCGCGCTGACTCGCCGGTCTCAGCGCGGCGCCCGCAGTCGGCAAACTCTGCGGTTCGGGCGCGTATTCGTACCGAGTAGCCCCTTAGGTACCACCCGGCGACCAGAACGGCGTGACGGCAAAACGTTTTTGGTGGCGAAGGATCTTTCCGTGTCCGCGAGTCCAGTTTAGGGGTCCAGTTTTTTTTTTATCAATATTACTGTTACCGCGTGTCTGCCGTCCGGTAATGCGCCTGGTGCGATCAATGACGTCGGACCACAGCAAGAAGAGACGCCGGGGAGCGTCTGAACAGCAGTCGGCGTCGGCGTCTTCGTCTTCGTCCGAAGAACTGTGGTGGACCGAGGCAGCCGTCAACGAAGTGACCGCCGAACACCCCGGCGAGCTGGTCCGCACCGGTTGCCCGTACATGTTGTGCAGTGCGTTGCCCACGCACTGGCGGTCCAACAAGACGTTGCCGGGCGCGTTCAAGGTGGTCATCCTCTCCGAGGTGCCGGACGGTACGGCCGTAACGCTCAAAGCCGGCAACGATGAAAACTGTTCGGCCGAACTGCGCAATTCGTCGGCACTAATCAAGAATCAAATAGCCAAATTCAACGACCTGAGATTCGTAGGTCGCAGTGGACGGGGTAAGTGTATTTTGGCTATATTATTCCACTGCCATACTTTCACCGTTATTTATAGTTAAAATTAATCGTAAAATAATTTAAGTGTATTCGGGGTTGTTTGCGCCAACAAACCTTAAGTTTAGTTTAAAAACACTTTGCCCGTAGGTTAAACACTACTTAAAATGGAATTTTAGTTAGTACATGTAAACGGGCATGTGCATTTAAGTTATGGATATTCGATATTTAAAATATTGCGTTTTACGCTCTTCTTCAATAAAGAATTAGTGTCGTCACAGCACACAAGATAGGGGTTTTTCGAGTGTTTGGAAAAACAATTTACTTTTATTTTTAACAAACGTTAAATCGGAATTCATTCAACTTATGTGCAATTTGAAAGCACATTAAAAAAATGAATGTAATTCCGAAGTTCCTTCTTTAAATATAAATATAGAAAGTTTAGATGTTTTCTTTATTGTCATTTTAATTTAATACACGTGGGCATTTTCAAAAAGAGGAAACAAAAAAAGGAGAAGTTGCAAAAATATGTTTCATAATTTCGTATGTAAAAAGCTGACATTTTTAGTTCTCAAATCTCAACCTCAAAGTCACTCCTGAGCTGAGCTAGTAATTTTAAAACCCATAAATCTAAAACCTGATAAACCACAAACCTATTAATATTTTATTTTTTATCGCTATTAAAAATAACGTAAATAAATTATATTTTAGAATAACAAATAGTGGTTGTGAAATTAAATTAAATTTTTTTTTCACGCGATGAATAAAAATAAAAATTTATCTGAGCGCACGGCAGTGCGCCAGGCCAAGTTCTAGCTTTGCCAGTGCATCTTTGCACGAACCAATTCACCCAGTTTTTCTAACCCACATATCTCCGTTTCCTTTAAAGATAAGCTTTTGAAATTTAAAATATAGATTAAGCTCGAGTAGCTTAGGATACTGTAACAAATTGGGCCCTTAATAGTAAACTTTTTTAAAAGGGGAGAATTTTAAAGTTTTTATTTTTGTTACTGACTCACTCACTCATCGTCAAAATTATAAAACACTTTCCGTATAAATAGAAACGGGAAATTTGGCACTAAGGTAGGTCTTATAGTGAAACTAAAGGGAAAAACCTGAAAGTCGCAATGTTCTCAAAATGAATGCCGCTTTAGGGAGTGTAATTCGAAATGCATGATGTGACGCGCATGAATATTGCTTGATTAGACTAGCACGGGTTTTTATTAATTAATCACAGATTCCCACGTCGTCGAAACAAATTTTCTCTTTTAAACAGTGTTACAATATGGCAATAAGCAATTGTATGCAATTGACAGTCAATACTTATCAAACATATGTTTTCGTAATATTATTGTATTTTATTTCATTTATCGGTCATCAAATACAGAATATTTTAATAATCGTAATAATATCATTATTAAAATAAATATATATATCTAAAAATAAATAAATACTATTTAATTCAGTCTATATACATACTCTATACTTGTGTAATTCTTCATCGGAGAATTCGTTCATTCGTTCTATGTAATAGCAAGTGCCGCTTTTCTAATAAAAATTGTATTAGAGCAAAATCTTCGAGGCGGCCGCGTGAATCAAACGCGTAGCTGTCTGTTCCCAATGTTCGATATGCTCCCACCAATGCCTCGTAAAAAATAACACATCACCCACGATGCTGAAGCCAGCAAACAGGAATGATATCCCCAACAAAAACCTAACAGTGAAAAAAGGCCAAGTTCCAGACCCCTCCCAAAAAAGTCAGCCTATCAAAGTAGTGATAATAATTATATTTGTGGCCAAGTCTGCTATTTCTTTAGTTCATATCCTCACTTCATTTCTACTTTCATGAGCAACACTGCTCTTTCATTTGTATTGCTTAACACTTGCCCAGTTTCCGAATGAAGCATAAAACATTATTATCAAATGTACTCACTTAGGAGTTACGTGGATGATAGGAAGGAGATAGCCCAGAAGAAAAAATAAGGTTCAGATCCTCTCCCAAAAAAGTCAGCACAATCAAAGTAGTGGTATCTACATTGCGGCCAAGTCTGTTTTATGCCTGATGTAGATGATTGATGTTGACATCACTACTTTGATAGGCTGACTTTTTTGGGAGAGGGTCTGGAACTTGGCCCTTTTTCACTATTAGGTTTTTGTTGGAGATGTAATATCATGAAGAGATGTCAAATTACATTTTACGATAAAAAATATAAAAACTACTATTAATGTAAATAGTCGATACTAAAGTTAACGTTAAAAACGTCTGAACAGAATGGTTTTTAATCGGTAATTTAGGGAGGACGTAAATAAAACATGTATTATTTGTAGTTAACAAAGAATATATGTTTGCTTGGTACGTAAATCAATAAATTCAGAGACAAAATCAATAAGATAATAAACAGTAGTCATTGTCACAATAATATTTCTTAATATTAATTCAATTGGATTAGCGATAATTAATTAACAGCTAATGTTTTTTCGCTTAGACACAGTATACAGTTAGTTTCAAGCTGTAGTTTAAAACATATACATAAAAAGTTAACTGTTTTTAATTTAAATCTAAGTAATATTAACATAATTTCTAAAATAGTGTACTTTTAAAAATGTCAACCATTTTGTAACTTAAACATTTTTTTTTTTTTTTTTACTAACCTTAGTTAAGTTAGACCTATATTTAAATTAATAATATATTGATACGTAATTGTATTATCTACTTTGATACGTACTTTAATACAAATTGATAACATTCTTGAATATAGGTATAAAATAAATTGTATGGAAATAAAAATACGTTAAGTATAAGTGGTGCGTTTTGAATAATTGAAATCTAGCGCAAACTAATCGTTCCATTCTTAGGTTCATCCCACATCTCCTTACCCACAACTCACGACTTATTTTATAAAATCGCTGCCCTTAATAACTTGTCACACGGAGCCACTCCGTTCCACCTTAAATATGCCACTAAAAGTGATATGTTATGGGATTTTGAGACATAACACAAAATATTTTAGTTGTGCAATATGTATATGCAATATGTATATTAGATGATTTATTATTTATGTAGACTATTTTTTGATCCTTCAAACCATTTTGGCTTATGCGACCAATTGTATAGGTGTATGAAAACGAAGCAAAATCTTGTAGTATGCTATTTATAAGATACCTACTTATAACTAATAAATTTGGCAAAAATTCAAGATTTGATTTTAATATATTAAAAAAAAAACAAAAATGGGATATTTCTCAAATTTACCTACTCACAGTTTTTAAATTAATACTGAAGTATTAGTCATTTTACTGATTATTTTTTAATATGAATTTATGTAAATTAATTTATTTACAATAGTTGATTATATTATACCTAATGTCTACTATTATTAGAGTTAAAAAATGCCTACATTATTATGTTAAAAAAATTATATAATACATTTTATGTTTCTTGCTACTTAAAATGTCTTAAATTTGATTTCGACATTAGTTGTTCTAAAATGAATATTATAGAGTGTAGGTAGCCTAAATTCTCAAATATTAAATAGTAAAGGTACAAATTATTGTCATTAATGCTGTCGGGTAAAAAAAAATGTTTAATGTCTACAAAACATAGATAAGGTTCAAGGTGGCTATAGAATCACGTTTACATCATTTTATACTACCGTTTATTTTCCACCTCCATACTCATAAGTCATAACACTATACTCATCCAACAGTTATTTAAACGAAATAATATCAATCGTCAGATGGCAAACATTGTGAATCTTTTAGTAATAGAAACTAATAACCATGGCGGCTAACTGGGCTAATTATATATGTTACAGCACAGGTTATAAATGTATCATGCCTCATCCCTCCAACTTCACTTCCTATTCGTCAATATAGTTGACAATGATAATTGTCTTTATAACACATTATTGCACTATAATACACAACAATGTTTTTGAGTGTTCAATTAACAATCGTTTGACGTGTTTAATTATTATACCATTAAGACAGAAATGATGCAATTTATATATTAAATCTGTGTTTCTACTTGGATGACGTTGTTGAATTTGACGTACAAACGTAGTATAAATCATACTAAAATAACCGTATTTTTGATATGAAAGTAATAAGTGCATAGGTGTTAGGTATAATATTATGTAGTGTAAGTTATGCAGAATACATATTTTGCCCTTCTTATAATGACGGCACAGAGCACAGGCTGCTGCCGCGCCGGTGCGGTTTTCAGGATAATATTATAATCATTTCGGGTGTCTCGTATATTACATAGGTAATTAAATTGTACCCAACTCTGTCCTGACAATGTCGTCGTATCCTTTGGCCGTTGTAGAGGCCCGAACAAAGAGTCTTTGTTGTCTTGCGCTTTTCCGCCGGTACGAACATTGGACGATTTCAGTCTTTGGAGAAACACGACGGTTTTATTGTTTTTTATTTCCCGCGTAAGCGGCCTATTATCCGGACAAATGCAAAAAAAAAAAAAAGGAAAAAAATCAATTTGCAATAACTGTCGCCCTAAATCTCTTTTACTATCATTTATACAATTACTCGGTCACATTTCGACACTAATATTATTAATATACCGGCCTCTCGGTTGTGCGGTGGTACTTCAATGTAGTTTTACGCCGTGGAAGCAATTACACCGACGACAGGATAACGGCGGCGGCGGGGAAAAAAATACTCGCCCATTGATGTATTGCACGTTTGACAGGATTTTGTGGTCACCGCATTCATAGTACTTCGTACACCACGTGTACCACCTGTAGTACACAATAAACCAACCCGTGCAATGTTTTATATTGTCATTGTCGTATTCATAAAACACATAACAGAAACAACAGAAATATGCATATTAAATAAAAAAATTATTAAACAAAAAAAATTACACGTTTTAATGACTTTTACTAATATGGGACGGGCCGGCGGTACATCAACCGTATTGTCCGCGGTATTACCAATAGCATTGAGTATAGATATAGTATACACCAACGGCATAATGTTGTGCGTGTAGCACGTTCTAAAACTTTCATTGTCGTTATAATGTTTCACCGACTTGTCCGCGTTAGAAATTTGAAAATAAATGTACACTCCGGATCAAAACTGCTATCGATTTGGTCGCATGTAACTATAAGACACAAATTCGGCCGACGTAACGTGATTCATGCTCACGATTTCAGCTGTAGGTCAAGTGTAATATGACGTGTCGACTAATCTACCACCGCCTTTGGGCTCACAAAATGATGCTGCATTATGCGGATTTCTTTCCAACGGTTTTTACCGTTTCCGCGGATGATCTGTCTCAGTAGTTTTGTAAATATTGCCGAAATATTATTATATGACGCATCTATGTTGCCGTTAATAATTTATGATTATATAAGGCGAAGAGTTTGCGTTTCTTCGCAGCACAGGAACTTTCCATAACTAAAAAAAACTTCTTGTAAAATTATTGATATATTATACAATTAAAAATAATTGAATCAACCTCAAAAACTCCAAGTATCTCGATATAGCCCTTGGGGCCAACCCGTAGCATAATAAAACAATCGTCCAATGTTATTCAACAACCAATTCATTAAACAAAATTTAAAACATGAATACTATTATGTATATTTATGTATGAAATGTAAAAATGCTTTTGTAATTAATGGACATGCAGCCGAAGTTATTACAAGATTAAAAAAAACCCGTTTGCAATATTGTAATTGTATTTCCGCAAACTTTATATGAAAAAAATATACATACTAAGAAATAAAATTAAAAAATATTTGCTGAACAACTTTAAGAACCATTGCACTTATGTCGCTATAAAGTATAAGATTTTGGTTTATTAGATGATTAATAATAGTTGGTTTTGCGGATTATAATATTAATAGTTTTTACATTTTTGTTTTTCCAGGTAAAAGTTTTACAATCACCATTACAGTAGGAACTTGTCCACCTCAAGTGGCGACGTACAATAAAGCAATCAAAGTTACCGTGGATGGACCCCGGGAACCAAGATCAAAATCTCGTAAGCTTTTTGAAGTATACAAATAATAAACAGTTGAATTACATTTTTAGACAGACCCATTAAAAAAAGAATACCTCCCTAACTTCCAATGATAAACAGTTAAAAAAACACAAAAATATAAGATGTTACAATGTATAAACAAATTTTAGAATCTTAAAAAACTATTGAGATTAACGTAATTCGTTTTAATCAACCATTTTAAAACAAAAAAACCGACGTCAACGACAGTTTCTATAAAGTACCTATAGTAATCATTGATCAAATTGGGGGAAAACTTTATTAAATTGGGGTAAATATTAATTCATGTATTATTGTACAGACACAGTACACTCTACTCTACATACGAGTATTATGTTTTGTGTACATACATAAATATTTTAAATGCGTGTAGTTTGTTTGTTTTTTAAATAATTTACTTATAAAATGCTTAACTTATATTAGTATTATATGCATGTATACTTCAATAGCCCTGCGGAAATAGTATACGTATGGAAATACAACTGACGTGTTCGATTAAATAACACAATACGCATACGGTCTATTCAATTTCGAAATGTTTACTTTTCAATTTTAATCCTCTCAATTACGTTCGGTTTAATTCCGCCAAACGCAATTTTAAATATAAAATAATTTTATTAATATTGATATTTATAACAATATAATATCAAAAAGCGTGACTTTGAAATGAATAGGTTCCCCGGAAGCCCATGTGGCAGACCTCCGGGTAGTTTTGTGAATAGACATAATTATTTTTCGAAACACGCAGACCAATTTCGGTTGGCCATTTGGACGTGTTTGGCTAGCTCGTACGAAGTAATGGACGGTGGATGTCAAGTATAAAATATAACCCAACTGATCAAAACACATGTGAATATTTTTGTTTTGCCTCATGAGAACTGTTTTCTTATCTATTCTGTTGATAACGCATTTTAGGAAAATAGCAAAACGAAATGTGTTTTAATCACGTTTTATTTTAACCACTAACTTCCGTGAGAACTAGTCACAATTCGTATGCACGCTATCATTTCGAACAAATTCTATAAGATTCGTTTTGTTGATAGTATTTGTATTCGTTTACAAGTATCATCACAAGTATCATCACAATATTACACACAATTAAATACAAAATACGATCGCATAGTAATACCGTTTTCAACAGTTAACATACAAATTAAAAACTAAAATTAATTTTTTATTAAGGTTATCATATTGTTTATTTTTTTAATATTACACATAACTTATTTCATATAATTATACATAAATATTATATATTTTATCACTGTCTAAGTTCGATAATTACCGTCGGAAGCTAACAATTGCTGACAACTGATTTTTTGTTTAACTACATTTATTAACTTATTTCCCAAAAAAATATTATGAGTATACTCATAATAATTAGATAAATATAATGAAGTGAAATGTGAAACTATTTTCAAATTAAACTTACAACTATAGATAAGCATAATAAAGTTAAAATTAAAATAAATTACATGTACAATTTCTGTTTTATGATTTTTTTTTTTTCAATATAAATATATGCACTCAGAATTTACTAATATGTATAAATTTCATATTATTTAAAAAATATTTATACAACTAATTATAACAAATACAAGTGGTAAATTATAATATTATTTAATTATTTAAAAACCGTTTGATTAGTTACCTTAAGTGATACTTATTGGAACTAGCTAAGTAGGTACTATATATAAACATGTGGGTTTAGTAAAAGTATTTACCTACACCGTTAAAGAGTCCACTAAATACTATACGCAAAATATAGTATTTAGTGGACGGTATAAGACATTTTTTACAAAACCTTAATATTGAGTTTAACGTTTAAGGTACTAGGGCAGTACTAAGGACTGTATATTGGTAGTTTTTTTTTGTCTGATTATTACTGAATACTCGACAATGATTTTAAATATCTTAACATAATATTTTTTTAATTGAATGTAACCAAAAGGCAAAAATTAAGATTACGATTTACGAATATAAATATACATCAATTAATTAGAAAATACTTTTATAACCGTACATATGACATTAATACATAAAATATAAACAATTAATGTTAAATATTAATGTACTACTGCAGTAACAACTATTTGTTGACATAATTAAAGTATTTCATATTTAAAATCTTTATAAAAATAGTTTGTGTAGCCCCTTTTTAGTTATTTTAAATTTAAAAAAGGAATCGTTTAAATTGAATATTTCTTTATTTAACCCATTGTACACATATAATGTTTAACATAGTGACAGCAATTCTGAGACATATGGTATGAGATCAAATATTAAATGTGTTCAAATAAATACTTGGCATTTTGTTTTGTTTGTTGTGCACCTAGGTCAACCTCATCAGTTCAGGGCGCTAGGCCTCGGACAGAGGCCATTCATGGAAAACACCTCATTTTCCAACCATCTTCGGGAATTAGACACATACCGGCGAGTCAAGTCAGAGGACTCATCTGCCCTGGACCAGCCGTACAGATCTACCAACAATAACCAAGGTTAGATATTATGTGAATTAATGTTAGTTTCATTAGATAAAAGGGTCCCGATAAAGGTTAGTCGATATACGTACAAAGCTATCAGAATTTTCACATTACACCTATATTTTTGTGATATACTTAAGTTTAAAAAAAAAAAGACCTGGGTACGTAAAACATTTTTTATTTTTATCAAACAATAATAATTTAAAGTTTTTTTTTTTAGTCATCAACTTTTTTGAAATAGTAAATAATAATCTTTTTACTAACATAAATGTTATTGTCCATCCAACTTAATTTTTTTTAACGTTTTCATCTTCATTTTTACTAGAAATTAACGTAAAACACTAATTTTCTCTTAAAACAATTGCCATTTTGTAGTTTTTCTTTTTGGAGCTACGTTAGTTTGTGCTATTACAAAATATTAGACAATATTCAAATGTTTATCTTTTTTCTTCTCCAGAGCTCTATAAACTTTTAAAACTTTAATTTCAATACCATTTAGCAAGAATAATTTGCTGAAAATGTTGACTAGTCGATAACCAGTTTTGTATAATTACTTTTAAAGTTAATAAAGTTTAAAATTTAGGACATGGGAGGTAGGGAGGAATGTAATTCAAAATCTGCGCGCATTACTCAACCGCAATCTACCTCCCGTACTAAATTTTAAATTCTAATAACTTTAAAAGTATTGATTCAAAACTGGCTATTGCCCAGTCAAAACTTTCAGCAAATTATTCTTAATTTAAAAAACGAATTAAATATATACCTTACCATTTAAATTTCAAACGTTACCTTCCCTAATTTTGGCTTCTTGTTGGAAAAAAACGAAATCTTTAAATTATTATTGTTTGATAAAAATCAAAAATGTTTTACATAGGTAATTTTTTCCAAATTGAATTACAACATCAAAATATGAGGTGTATCGTGTAAGATAGAATTCTGATAACCCTGTATATACATACAATTCGACAATATCATAATACACATAGAATTCCTATTTGACCGCAGTTCTGAGGTATACCACATAATTTAAGGAGCTCTACACAGGAAGCTTTTTTTAGAACCCAATTACCTATGAAACTTACCGGTTTTCCGAATTCCATTTTGAACACCTCGCCGAGTTTTACTTTTGAATGAATTCCGCCTTCCGGGCCGTATCCCACGTAACTACGATATAGGCTAACTTAAATGAAATTCTCTGTCAAAACTTAGCACAAGTATGTATACAAATAAGTAAAACTTATACGTAGGCTATACGTATTACATATTACACCCAGTATTCACCGCAAATGTGGTTAAATATTGCAGAAATAACGAACTAAAAAACACGCAATCGGGGTAGTTCCCGGATTTAAGTATTTAACATTTGATTTCAATTGCCTATAATTAGTATTTTTATACACCACATAAACTATACGACAACTGATTTCGCCAATAAGATAAGTTATTATATATTATGTACCTATATTAAATTGTGTACATTCGTACAACTTCCAATAATATTATATTCTCACGCTAGAACATAATGTACATTTTGATAATTTGACACTGAAATCTCAAGTCCCCAGAGTCCAGACACCTTATAATAACTATTATTATTTGACACCGGAAAATGTGGTTTGATTGGATGGACCTCATATTATATGGATGGACCGTGTGTGCGTGTGGGTTTATTATTGATGAAAAAAGTCACAACACGAAACATTACACCGTCTGTGACCGGGTTAACGTGTCCACTGTTGTGTATATGCTTTTATAGGGTGTATACACAGTGTAAAACGATATCACATGCTCATTTATAAGATCATAGATCTGTATACAGTTAACAAGGGATAATCGAGATTAAATATGGCCTTAGACGCGTCGCAAAACATATGTTATGTGGTGATCTAACATTTCAAACGGAGGGTTAAAAAGTACCTACCATCACAATACGTGCTGTACACTAGAGAACGTAGTTCGGCAGCAATGATTCGTTTTTCTTCTTTTTTTTTTTAAGTAATGCTTATTACTTATTAGATACCCCGCTGTAATACATATGAGAAAGTACAAAAAAACAATCGTGATGACAATGTTTATTGCTACTTACCAGACCTTTTGGATATATCATAAAGTATAATATAATATATTATATATATAAAATGATTAGTATCTTAATGCAATACCAGTCGTTGAAAACCGATTGTTCGTATAAATGTATAGCAGCCGCATGTGGTCGTTAAAGTCTCTACGACGGGTAATTTGATTTTTTTTCTACTTCCTCGGTATAAAAACAAATACTTATAACGCGTCGGAGATTTGGAGAAATTCAATATAGTACCACCTATCTAATATATCCCCTGCCCCTGTAATCATATGGTAAGCCAGTAAATCTTGTGTTGAAAACGGCTATATAATCGTGGCTGACTACCGATACATGATATAATGTACGTTCTCGGATTCAAATATAATATTTTTTTAAATCCAATTTACACTTGTGATTATTTATAAAATATATTTGTTCAGCGTTTTGATTTTCAAGGAGGTTCTTGGCTAAATGAGTGCGCATTAAAATAATGCATAAACTATAAAACATACGATGTCGCGTCACCTAATAAAGCCCGTTAATAAAATACATAAAAAGCACCTATCGCTAAATATTATACATTATGTTGAAGCAATACTATACTGACAATGAAGAAGGAAATGAAATCTACAATTATTAAGTATTTCTTTTTTTTCAATCCAATCATCGATGTACTTAATATTTCCATATTGTTCTACTACAGAATGAAATAAACCGTGAAAAGTGGTTACACTACGTGTTACCGTTCTACCTGGTTAATTGTTTGTAAATTGCAGTTGTGCAACACTTAAGAACATTTTACGTTGACAATATAATATAACAATATAAACAAATACCAACATTCTAGGGAGTTTTATCTAAGGGATAAGACTCGTATACTATATTTATCTCTTTGTATAGGCATGTGTTATTATTCTAATTTTTTTCGATTACTACAATTATTAATTTGTTTGTAATTTGCTATCTGATTTATTTCAATAAATAAATAGTAAAGTTATTATTTTGATAAGTAGTATGCATTTTTTTTAAATTGCCTACTATCGGTACAACATCATTTAATAGTTGTAACTCGTCAAATAAACGTTCAAGATTCATCAAAAGAAATATTGACTTAATATCTATTGAAAATATATTCATATTCAATTAATACTACCTATTTCGCAGAGTTTGAAAATAAATATGGTTATCTTATACGTTTGATTTGCTAGCACTTTTTATTGTAAAAATGATTAAGACCCACTAGATTTTTTATGAAACTATTCGTATTTTTTCGGATTACAAATATGCACACATAACCTTTGGTTATTGCAATATATTTATATATATATATCGCAATAATTTGCGGTTACTTTTGAGTATTGAACATTCTTTATTATAATGTATATGAAACATATACATACGCAATATTTAATGTTAATAATATTATTACGGTAGCAAAAAACTGTGATTGTTCTTTTTACCTACGTGCTCGATTGTTTTATGTATAGGATACCGTAGTCCCGTTTAATGTTTTTGCCAAATTGTACAGCGGTGTATAAACCACAAGGTCACCCTTTTTTTTATATTTTGTAAAGCAAATGACAAAATAATTATTATAATATTATACGTGGACATACTATTAAATATGCATGTGCATATTAACATAGTATGTTAAGTGTAATATATATATATATATATATATAGGAGAGAGACTTATAAAAACTAATATATCCAGTATACACTCAATCAATGAACCTTCACGATTGTAGTACAGCTCATTGGTATTACCCATTGGCTTTACACAATTTCTCTCTTAGAACCAGTTGCGTAAAAATTAAATAATTCCGTTTGTTTATATTTATAGAATTTGTTTCTCATTTCACAAATAGTTACAAAGTTAATGTGTGTAGGAGTTTGAATTAACGTTACCTAACGAAGTGATTAATCACTTCTAAAGTACACTTCTCGGGTCCACTGCAAACCAGCTTGTTTTACATTATACGTATGTTAACCTATACCGGCCTGCACTATACTGTGTAGGTATGCTGTGTGTTTTATGAAATCCTAAATTGTTTTCACGTACCGTATAATTTTTCTGTAAATGTGATCGGTGCACTGTCTGTGAAGTCGTGAAGTAATCAAACGCGCGCGCGAGCGAGCCAGCGATCGAATAGACAGACAGAGAAAGAACGAGTGAGATAAAGAGAGATAGAGGAGTCATTGAGCCTTATTCTTTTTCATGCGTTGGTTGGGTGGAATAGCAATCCGCCGTATGTATTGAAATAACAGACGTGATTATGTGTAGCGATAATTTGTGATCTTGTACAAATGATTTCGGACGGGCTAAGAAATCTGTTGTGTGTGATTGCCGGTTTGGATGGTAGTCTAATAGGCGGGCACGTCTACTACTCGCATATACCTTTTTCCTCTGTCTCTCTTTGATTTTTTGTTTAATGCTCTAGGTATATTATTATACGATGATTTTTTTTTTTTCTTAACTTCCAATTTTGCTCCGTGATTTCTGGTGTCTTGCTTCTATGGATCTCGTCAGACCGTGAACGCTATGGATGTATAATATTCTTCTATACATCATTCGTTTACGGATCAACAGTTATCAAAAAACAAAACCGTTTTCCCAATCGTCAGTAGAGTTAATGTTCATCGAATCGTCATCTAAATGGCGTGTTGAAACGTAGACGTTTCCGGCCGCGTTTATACACTTCACATTATTATACACAGTAATAGGAATAATAATATGTAACTCGTAAATAACAAATAATATCGTGTTTTGACTGGAATGACGCCAGTAAATTTACCAACAAAAATACTTAATTATGCTACTTAATTATAGTCGCAGTGATAAACTTTTTTCCTACACCTACTGTATAATATCATAGCATTTCCTTTTTAGCTTTTTTAATTTTTTAGCATATTAATAATTGTTTGCACATAAAAATTAAGTACTTTTATATTG